TGGCAGACAGGACACGAGCGCTTCCCAGGGCAACCATGGTTATAAGGCTAGAATAACCCTACTTCTAAGTGGGGTTACAAGTACGGTAGCCATGGTAATGACCCTATTTAGGGTACTTACAACCCCACAATCAGGCACAGTTCACAGAAAGCGCCGCTCCACTGTGCAACAAAGTGACGGTGGTGTGCAAAAGGTCAGCCCGGGACAAGTTGTTCATGGGGGCCTCAACCGCTCAACACGCTCACTCGCCTTGTTCTTCTTCCCTTCGTCCTTCTTGTCGCCTGGCTTGGCCTGGAATCCTGACCGGCGCCGCACTCAATGACAGATTCCGGCGCGCACGAAAGAAGACAGCCCTGCTGCCACACCCTAGGGCCCCAACCGATGGTGCGCCGCAGGTAGCTGGCTCCGTGTGCGAAGCTGCAGGCCTCTGCGCTGAGATGGCCTTGGCTTGCGGATGCCAAGCTTAAAGTTTCGGATCTCCTTGCCTCGGCAGATATCGGCTCTGAGATGATCCTCCAGTGTTCGCTGTTACAGATTGAGGGTGTCGGGTGACACGGTGAGACCCTCTGAAAGACGGGCCGAACTGTTTTTGGGGGGTCTTGGGATTTCTTTTCAATCACATCTTCAACTCAAAGCCCTATCGCCTCTGTCCCGCCCCTTCGCTGGGGATGGGGGGGCGAACCCTAAACCCTAAACCCTAAACCCTAAACTCTAAACCCTAAACCCTAAACCCTAAACCCTAAACCCTAAACCCTACCTAAACTTCGAGAGGACAATATTCGCTTCAACTCCCCGTCGGGCGCGGCGCAGTAAAGTGAAAACGGCCGTCACAATGGGTCGATAGGGTCAAGGGTTTACCTTCCTTGCCTACTGCGAAGCATCCTACGGTTCATCTTTGAAGTATCCGATGCCAAGTTCGGCATCGCACGCTGGGCCTCAGGCAATTTCCTTGCATCCACCTGGCTACAAACAAGTCCGTCATCTGTCATGAGTCATGTGGGGGTATCCTATGACAATACTCAGCCAATTGCTTGGGGTCCCCCAAGATGGACCATCATTAAAGAGCTGAAAGAATACGAAGTAGGGCATATATATATATATTTTTTTTTTCTTGTACCCCGAAAGGGACACCCGGCATATACACTCACCAATATTAAAAAGGAACCTTATATACATTTAGCAATAACAGTAATCTAAACCCTACTTCATATGACTTTTGTCATGCGTGGGCGCCTGGGACAGATCGAGGTTCGCCGCAGATCAGGTGCCTGGCAAAACAGTACCACATGATTCCACATGAGACCTCATGTTCAGTTCTCTAAGATATGGGGGTTTCTGAAAGTACGGGACCTATAACATAGACCCGCCAAATAGCAGGATTCCCTCCTAATAAGGACCCGAAGAAGGTGCCCCTAATTTCGGAAACACCCATAGGGCCCTAGATAGAAGGTTTAAAGCTCAAGGTTGTGGCACGGTGTTCCGCAAAGAGTCCATAGGTGCGCCTTCTGCAACTCTTCCCGGCCATGTGCAAACTCGCACTCAGGGCCCATGTGACCTTACAAGGACACCGGCCACATCGCTTCAAATACTGGCTGGTTCTTCGTCGGGAATGAGGGAATTCGGCCCCCTATAGAATCCCGTAAAGAGTATATATATATATATCTATCTATATATGATTTTTTATATAGGGCCCTCATTCCCTACTACGAACCAGGAGGAATAGCACACGTCTGCAGCCCTGTCGGCCCAAGGTCTCCACAACCGGACCCCTTGTAGAAGCGGCAAAGTTGGGTTTTCCGGAACTGCTTGCGGAAGATGGCCCTCCGGGACAGCAGCAGTTTAGGGGTTTAGGGGTTTAGGGGTTTAGGGGTTTAGGGGTTTAGGGTTTCGGGTTTAGGGTCAGTTTTCTTTGGCACGCGAGCCCCATTCTAAGCGCTTCTGGCGGAAGCGAGGCAGCATGCACACTCTGCAGAGCATGGGGGGCCTGGACTCCGCATCCATTTGTTTCCTCGGTATGCCGCGGCTTTGATTCACAGGGGGCCGCAACACCAGAAGAGACCAGAATGCCCTGAGTGAGGCTCCTTTCAACCGTGTTCGTGTCATCGGAATCATCGGTGAAGAGCTGACGAATACCTGCAAAGCTAGAAGGGCATTTGCATTGTAGGGCACCAAGCGCAGACTGCGAAGGCTCGAATATTCAACTCACCATTGATGCACAGAAAAAGAGGTTTGTTGCAGCATGGCTGCAACGAAACAGACATGGCATGTAGCACAATTTTTTCCACGGAGTTTGGTACAGTACATTCGTAAAGCTAAGCTCATCCTGCAGAGCGCTAAACTTGCATGAACTTACAATACTGTTCATGTGCACCAGTACGCTTCTGTCTCGTGGCAACTTTCTTCGCCCCCGGTGCCCGTAACTGCAGCTTCCCGGACCCTAGGTCTCCTTGCATATCATCGTGACCAAGCAAAAGTCTACTAAACATGTTGCTGCCTATGTCGAGCCTGCACGGGCTTGTTAAACACATGGCCCGTTGGATCCCTAAACCCTAAACCTTAAACCCTAAACCTTAAACCCTAAAGGTGCTCCTCCCAGGGCGCACCCATTGAGTCTGTTCCAGTCGTCTCGCTTGCAGCAGTGTCCTGACATTCTGGTGCGACTGTTGGGGTTGCAACCCGACACACCGAGCCTGCTCGCATCTGATGAGCATGTGGCTTCGCAGCAGCCACACAATCTAGCTCAGAACTTCTGCCTGACCCCCCCCCCCCCCCTACCACGAGACACCAATGTGCCTCAAAGTTCGCCACGTAATTCATGAGATTTCCGTCGAAGAAGGCCTGCGCAAGAGCAAATCCTAAACCCTAAACCCTAAGCCCTATGGTACTGTGCAACACGAAAGGCTCTTCCTCTGGTGGCTGGTTTGCCGTGACTGCGTTCATGGCAGCTGCAACAGAAGATATATTAAGAATACAATGCAATAATGGACTAATATAGTGATAAACCAGTAATATTGCTAAACAATACATACACAAACACAAAGGAAGATTAACGTAATACACGAATATGAAAGTATGATTTGTGACAATGCAATGTGTATACTAAAACATTAATACAACAATTTAGCCAATATCAGGATGTTGTAAACATGTAATAAGATCGTAATGTAATCGACTAATGACTAATATTATAACCGCATACTAATACACGAATAAAACACGATACTTACAACCATATAACCACCAAAATGTTAACTAAAAACAACATGTTCCTTTTAACATAGAGTCTAACCAGTCTCGGAACTGCGTTCTGCCCCACAGGTTATCCAATGCATCCTTCCTTCTGAGGGAGGTGATGAATCATAATACTGGTAAACATCATAATAATAATAAGAGGAATAATAATGTTAATATGAATATAAATATTGATATCAATATTAATATTAATCCTGCTGAACTCCAGGGTTTCGTCGCAAAGCCTTGTCCATCTGCTGGTGCGTCTGCGACCTTCGACATTGGATCAAACAAAAGCACGTCAGCGCCTGCACATGGGTGGTTGTCAAAATTATGATCCCTTTTGGGGCACAGTACCCTAAATCGTAGGTGCCGTATCTTCGTAGGGATCCAAAAAGGGACCATGATTTAGACAACCACCCACATGCTGTCAGAACTGCCGGTTCAATCAGTTGGCCAAGAATAACAGTCGAAAGACTAGTCAACGGATGTCAGAGCAACTGTGATGCGGGCATCAAAGCTGCGTGACCATTCTGCATCCACATGCCTGGCGCTGCGACCCTTCTTAAGTGGAGAGATGTGGAGAGGTTGCTCGGTCGGCTTGCAACATTTTCACTCATGCACAGCTGCAGGCCGACGCCACAACACATGACACACATGTGAACCACGGTGGGTGGGAGTGCTGCTTGACTTCCCAAAGACTCCAATACCCCTTACTGAAGGAATCTTCCTGAAAGTATAAGAGGGTTGCTTATATGGTTTAAGGAAGATATCCTCCCTAAACCCTAAACCCTAAACCCTTAATTAAGGGGTGTTGGAGTCTCTTGTTTTCCAGGCTCTAGAACATCCTTCCCCATTGCCCAGGTGGCCTGCCATTTCTTGTCCCGGACAGGACGACGACCTCCGAGGCAGACCAACCCATGCCACATCCACTGCGCCAGCAACGAAGCTGCCAAAAACACATGAACTTGCCGATCGCCACGTGCCCATTTTCAAGCATCATCCAAAAGGCCAGAATAATTATTCTAACAAAATAGTAAGATTAATAGTAACAATAAAAATTAAAATAATAATCGTAATGATAGCGTCTGGGCTCCCGACGTACGGATTGTACGACGGAAAGGAGGTTTCCCTGCAGGATGATCACGGAGGAGATGCTGTACTGCTGTGCGGCTCGCAGTTGGTAGCAGAGCCGAAAGTATGCACGAGCATGGACTGCAGGCCCTAAAGGCAGTTTAGGGTTTTAGGGTTGTTTCCAGCCTTGTTTCTCTCACTCCGGCAGGAAATCAACTTCCAACAAAAAGACGGCGCCAAGAGAGAGAAAATCAACCTACCCTGGAACGAGACGCACGCGAAATGACGAGCTCAATACGCGTTCAACTCCCCTGATCCATAGTCTCATGTTTTTTCTTGGGTTGTACTGTCCAGAAGAAGCCAAATCTCTTCAGCAGATGTTCAGGTTCAGGGTTCAGGGTTCAGGGTTCAGGGTTCAGGGTTTAGGGTTTAGGGTTTAGGGAGATGTCGCCTCTCCTTGCGTTTCGTGGGATGGAGCCGCCCAACTCACAGCTGGGTCATTCGCACATCCTCCCGAGTGGGCACCCTGCCTTCGGCCCAAGCCCTACAAGCCCTATACAAACCCTGACCTATAACAAGCCTCTGAAACCCTGTAAACTAAAAAACACGATTGACTCATTCCCTAAACCCTAAACCCCCTACTAAAAGCCCTATACTAATACCTCCAAAAGTGCCGACTGCTCTCGGCGCGATGCCCATCTTGGCCGCAATGTCCTCGGCAAGCTGCGGGTGCGCCTCGGAAAGTCCAAACATGCCAGGGTTTAGGGTTTAGGGTTTAGGGTTTAGGGTTTAGGGTTTGGGGTTTGGGGTTTGGGGTTTAGGGATTAGGGTTAGGGTTTGGGGTTTGGGGTTGGGGTTTGGGGTTTGGGGTTTGGGGTTTGGGGTTTAGGGTTAAGGGTTTGGGGTTAAGGGTTTGGGGTTTAGCGAGTGGGACCCGCCGGAAATGCAGCCGGGAGACGTTTCCGCAGAAGATCCGTAAAGGACCTGCGCAGGATCGGAGATGTCCCCACGGGTAAGAAACTGCACACATGTTTAACACTAATACAATAAACATACAGTATCTAAGAATCAAGAACATGTGTACATATATATATATATATATATATGGAAACTGAAGGTGTCGCCCAAAAGCTCAAGACTCGCTTCCAAGATAACGACAGGCGGTTTCGAACAGCCAGGAAACATGGATCTTTTGCTTGGGAATTTAAAAGTACGTCAACAGCAATACGATATGCCCATTCTTATTTGCTTCTATCTTTGTCCCTCGCCTTATTCTTTTGTTTGTGGCTAAGACGATTATTTGCTGTAGGACCGCCCCCCAGAAAATAAGATGATCATCCCTATATTGCCCTTACAAGGAAATCTGATTGTGTTGGGGAGTTCACAAGGGAATAGGCCTACTCTCTGGGTCCTACTTGGAAGTTCATGGATAGTTATGAGTAGCGCTACAAGTACTGTACCCTAAACAAGGTTACAACCTGTTCTAAATATAGCTGCCCTACTTACAGCCCCACTTAGAACTGCCCATGAACCTTCAAGCAGCCTAAACCCTAAACCCTAAACCCTAAACCCTAAACCCTAAACCCTAAACCCTAAACCCTAAACCCTAAACCCTAAACCCTAAGCTCTATGTAGTGTGTCATCTTCCTTCAGTCTCCCAATGCTTCAAAGGCGCCGTGGTTCATGCCCTGGGGGTCTCCGAGTCGCATCTCCTCAAGACCATCTCAAAGGGCTGGGCTTTTGGGGCGTGTAGGGTTTAGGGTTTAGGGTTTAGGGTTTAGGGTTTAGGGTTTAGGGTTTAGGGTTTAGGGTTTAGGGTTTAGGGTTTAGGGTTTAGGGTGTAGGGTTGGTTTCGGCTTTCGGGTTTAGGGCGAGGGTTTAGGGGGAGGGTGCCAGGGAGCTGGGGTGTTCTGTTGCGGGGGTGGGGGAGGGGCGGGGACTTGTTGAGGGGTCTGGGGGAAGGTTGTTCCGCCTTTGAGAATTCTTGGTCTGGTTTCTCGAAGTTGTGGGGGCCCCGATTCCAGCCCAGCCCCTACCATACGTTCGCCATGAACCCTGAACCCAAGATGTCCTAAACTCCTAAACCCTACGAAGAAGGAAATTCTGAGTCCCAGGCAAAGCCAGTACGGGGATCCCGACCTGCAACACTGAGAGGCTCCGGCAGAATCCCTCTAGAACTAGGGTTTAGGGTTTATAGGTTCAGGGTTTAGGATTTAGGGTTTAGACCATAGCACCCAAACCCAGAACCCCCCCTCCCCCCCCAAAAAAAAACCTAACACCCCAACAAATAAAGCCAAAGACCCCAAACCCAAAAACCCATTATCTCTACGTAAACCATTCTAAGCCACTGGCCAACCCTCAACCCCACAAACCCCATAGAGGCCTCAACAACTTGCTAAGACCCCAGCGAGTAAAGGCCAGTTTCTGCTGAGCGCGCAAATCCTGAGCGCGCAGATCCTCGCAGGCGCACTGCTTCCTGTCGCGAGGGGGTGTGAGGAGCTTGCATCCATCGGGTCTGGGATATATGCTTTATGGTTCAAGGTCTTCTGGGATACTGCTGGCATGTCAAAGATGGAAAAAATCCTTCCGAAAGTGAAGAGCCGGAATCGAAGTCTCTGGAAACAAGCAGCGCAATCTGCATGGTTTCTTGTCTGGACATTGACATCATCAGCATACGAAAGACCCGGTTGCAAGTCTAGGGTTTTCGGCTTACATGTTTATAGACATATATATATATATACACACACATATATCTATATGTGTATATATATATATATACATGTACCTGTGTCTACATCTTATACATTTAAGCAAACCCTACCGACCTCAAACCACGCCAGAGCTTGGCCTGGACAGTGCCGCGAGCGTGGCCAAAGCCCCGCTGGCCCGGCAGAGGCCAATGGCCCGACGCATCACCTGCAGGATGCAGAGCACATAAGCTATTTTTGATACATACAGCCATAAATATAGAAATACATACATAGATAAACTATATATAATATATATATATATATAACCTAAAGGCCTATATATATATATGTATATGGTTTATATTGATATACTACGCATATTTCATATGGAATGGTATTTGAGATGTAAGCACTCAGGAGCTGCTTCGCACTGGCTTCGCTGCACCGGTCACTGCGGGCTTTTGGATGTAGAGTTTGGGCTTATGTCGGCGTTAAAGCGCCATACAAAACCCCATAAAACGTAAAAAACATAAATCAAACTAGGCTTCACGGATACTAGCGAATCTTCAAATAAGGAGGGACCCGCTAGAAGGGACCCTTGCTTGATCTTATTTCCCTATATAAGCCTCTTACCTAAGTAGCTTTAAGTAGCCCCAATGGAGCCCCTAAGGTCTCTCATAAGGGTCCCTCCTTTGTCCCTTGCTTCAAACAGCCTTTCCATGCACACAGAGGCGCCAACCTCCTCACGCGCAAACCTGGCGCCCGGTCCACGGGCCGGTTACCTGCAGAGGGTGCGTCGCAGCTCTGGGTTTTAGGGCTTGGGTTTAGGGTTTGGGGTTTGGTTTAGGGTTTAGGGTTTAGGGTCTGGGGTTTGGGGTTTGGGGTTTGGGGTCTGGGGTCTGGGGTTTGGGGTTTGGGGTTTAGGGTTTAGGGTCTGGGGTCTGGGGTTTGGGGTTTAGGGATTAGGGTTGCTGTGGATGACCGACGTGCCTCGAGGCTCCCCATATCATGGACCTGCCGTCAAGCGGAGATGCCATGCAACACGGAAGGGTTTAGGGTTTAGGGTTTAGGGTTTAGGGTTTAGGGTTTAGGGTTTAGGGTTTAGGGTTTAGGGTTTAGGGTTTAGGGTTCAGGGTGTAGGGTTTAGGGTTACACTCAGAGCATACGATTTAAGAGCCTCCGGCTCAAGCCGCCGACTTCGCAGGAGAACAAGTTTAAGGTTTGGGGTTTGGTGGATTGGGTTTGCGGTTGGGGGCGGGGGGGGGGGGGGGGGGGGGGGGGGGGGGAGAGCCCCTATGCCCTGTGCGAAACCGCCTATGGTCCATGAGTTTACGCGTGTGGGTGGCCTGTTCCTCCACAGAAAATCACCTCCAGAAACCCATCCAACACGCCGCCAGGGTCGGCGGATCGAAGACATCTAAGCGCTGTGTTCCGTCCCTTTCCGGGCTCCTCGTTCAAAAGAGGGGTTATACCGAAGGGCACCCAAATATCACCAACTCCTCCCTAAACCCTAAACCCTAAACATCCCTAAACCCTAAACCCTAAACCCTAAACCCTAAACCCTGAAGAAGACGTCAGACGCCAGACCTCTGCGCAGCTTCCCTGGCTCGCCCGCGAGCCGAGGGCTCTCGGCCCACCCCCCCCACAAAAGGGGCTGAGGAGGTTTACGGGTTTGGGGTTCGGGGTTCAGAGTTCAGGGTTAGGGTTTAGGGTTTAGGGTTTGGGGTTTAGGGTTTAGGGTTTGGGGTTTAGGGTTTAGGGTTTAAGGATTAGGGTTTCGGGTTAGGATGCAGGAAGAAGGAAGGTTGGGGGGGCGAGGCAACCTCGAAGGTGCAGGAGCTAGGTGGGCGAGTGTCTGACAGATAGAACACACATGATGGTTGGGGATTTAGGGTTAGGGTTTAGGGTTTAGGGTGCTCCCCCTTATGCTAATAGTCCTAAATGGGGATTCTAATATGGGGTACTATAATCCCTATTAGGGACTGTTAGCAAATGTTGGTTCTGAAAGCATGAGAAGGTGCTCCACCAAGTATTTCCAGACACAAGAACCTTGCTTCTGGATTTAGTAGGTCTGCCTGTCCAACTCCAAACTGGGATGCCAAAAGTGTGCCACCAAAACGTTTCAGAACGTGTTCCGACTGCTGTGCTGGGCTCAGGTTACCAGAAAACTCGTGGAATGCTGTCGGAAAAACACATTACAGAATGCTTTTCAGGAACAGCTTGAATACTGTACTTGTATGTACTTGTTGTTTCACACCCATGCTTTGCATCCATGCCTTGTACCTAGGAAGAACTTGGAAGGCTGTATCGGTTCCGAGCTCATGAGTGCGGTAGCAGTGACATTTCGCGCCTTGCTGAGCCCTGCAAGCTTTGCCGTCTGCGCTGTGAAACACGTATGTACAGCCGGGGCGACGGACCCCGGCAATCTTAAGGGATGTCGCAGCTATTCCCATAGTTGTCAACACTGTGCGGGCAAAACTGGGACTCATACAGTAGAGCACTGGGATCGGACTGACATGGAAGTAGTAGGGGGGGAAGTACATGAAGCTACAAACATCGTGAGCCGCGATTGTAGATGGGCGTTCCGAAGGCATCGCGCACACCTGCCACGCAGGAACCGACAAGGACTGGCGCACAGAGCATCCCGAAACCCGCGAAGCGCACGGAAACAACAAAAGAAACGCTTGATGAGGCTCTCTGAGGCCCGCCTCCCAGGCCCTCGCGGTCCTGGCACACCGACGTACGATCCTAAAGTGGTAGATTACATGGGAAGAGCATCGGACAGAAGACTGCGGGCGTGCGACGCCAAGACGGGGAAGCAAGATCAACTTAACATGGGCTTTCCCTCCCTCCCCCAACCCCCACCCCCTCCCCTAAACCCTCGGATCCTTTGTGAAGAGATTCTTGTACACCTCGCTCTCTTTTGCGCTGTCCTTCGGTGCTTTCGCCTTCGGGGCGCCGGAGACTTCTGGCAGACCCTTCAACCCTAAACCCTAAGCCTAAACCCTAAACCCTAAACTCTAAACCTAAACCCAAGCCCTAAATCCTGAACCAGGGCAGCGACCGGCCTTGGGCTTCGAAGCCTCCTCCTGAACGAGGTGAACGAGGTGACAGGGTTTCGGAGGGTAAAGTGGGCTTTGGGGCCTTAGGGTTTAGGGTTTAGGGTAGGGGGTTTAGACAGGGTTTCAGAGGGTAAAGAAGGCTTTGGGGGCTTAGGGTTTACGGTTTAGGGTAGGGGGTTTAGAGGGGGTCTCTAGAGGGTTTGTTTGAAGGGTTGTTAGAGGGATTCTCAAGGGTCTTCAAAAGGGATTTACAGGGTTTTCTAGAGGGTTAGAGGGCTTTGAGGGGTTTATACGGCTTGGGGTTCGGGGTTCGCCTCCTGTCAAGAAACACCAAACGGTTGCGTAGCCCATTGCAGCGACAGAGCCCACTCACTATGGACAGCCCAGCCTACGTCCAGGGTCTAGGGTCAGTGGTTTAGGGTTTAGGGTTTAGGGTTCAGGGTTCTGGAGCGGCAACTACGCAAAAGTCCCCAAAAGGGGGTCGGAAACCCACTAAACCCTAAACCCTAAACCCTAAACCCTAAACCCTAGACCCTAAACCCTAAACCCTCGCCGGGGGCCTCGTCGGCCTCCTCGGTGGGAGCTGCCGCGGCCTGAGCTTTCCGCTTCTTGGTGGGCAAGCGCTCCCGGAGCTTCTTCAGCTCCTCAAGAGGGGAGACAGGAGGGTTTAGGGTTTAGGGTTTAGGGTTTAGGGTTTGGGGTTTAGGGTTTAGGGTTTAGGGTTTAGGGTTTTGGGGTTTAGGGGTTAGGGTTAAGGTTTAGGGTTTAGGGTTTAGGGTTTAGGGTTCAGGGTTTCGGGACGTGAAGAGGCTTTAGGATCAGGTTGCAACACGCCATCGGATGTGGCCTCACCATCTGGAGCCAATGGAATGATGTCCTGCAGTTGCCATGGCACTCCATTTGGACAATGTCCTTTGGGGACAAAAGGCTACCATGAAGCAGCTGGATTGCAGGCAACTCGGTCCTTTTCAGCATCAAAGGGCTTGCTGGTTACAGGGCACTCCTTCCAATGGCTCACTTGTGCAGAGCCATTCCATGACAACCAGCTAGGGTTCATCTAACATTCTGGGGCCATTGAAGCAGGCGGAGGCTCGGGGCAGATGGCTTCCAGCCGAACGATATCCCGCGAGCTCAACTTCTCTCAACTATGAAGACACGATTTGCATGATGCTCTTACGCGCAATATGGAATCTGCGCAAGAGCCGGGGCGATCTCGGGATCTTGTTGGGGGAGGGAAAGGGGCAGCAAACAGCCCTTCATGTGGGGGGGTTTTCGGAATTCGGGGTACCTTTTTACGGTTCCCGATTACAAGGGAATCTTACTATTTCGGGGGTCCTTTTTTTAGGGGTCCCGTATGTTCGGAGACCTTCATGTCTGTAAGAGGTGCAGTCCTCAAACTTGGTCGCTGTTCTGAGACGGCACCTTATATCTAGCCTAGACCACCCGGCCTCGGAGGAGGAGGAGACACACAGAGCCCTAAAACCCAAGAGCCGCCGCCCTACTGCCCAAACCCCGGGCTTCATGAGGGTACAACTAAGGTTTAGGGTTTAGGGTTTAGGGTTTAGGGTTTAGGGTTTAGGGCCTAGGGCCCAGGGATGGATCAGGGATGATCTGGCTTTGTGGCCTTCAACTTCATCTCTTTGAGGCTCTTCGCTGCGATCACGGCCCCGCTTGGCCAAATGAGCACCTGGCAGGTTCGGGTTTTCAGGCTCATGGGAGGTCCCTAAACCCTAAACCCTGAACCCTAAACCCTAAACCCTAACCCTAAACCCTAAAGCCTAAACCCTAAACCCTAAACCCCCTAAGTTTTAGGGTTTATACTGGTTTTAGGGTGCTATATGGGGGCTTCAGGAGGTTTTGAGGGTTTTTAAGGTTCTGGAGTGGCTGTGGGGCTCATAATAGGGGTTTACAGGCCGCTGTTTGGTAGGGGTTTATCGCTGGTTGACAAGGTCTAGAGACCTGTTAGGGTTTGTATGGCTTATAGGTTTTAGGGTTGGGTTGTGGGTCTAGGGCTAGCTTACAGGGTTTAACTGCATGTAAAAAGAGCTAGTAGGATTCAATTGGTTTAAGTTCAGTCATTCCTGCTTGCTTACAGGGTACAAGCTGAGGGCCTGAGGGCTCACAATGGTTGCTATGGTATGTTTTCCCCTAAACCTTAAACCCTAAACCCCAAACCCTAAACCCTAAACCCTAAACCCGGGCTTAGGTTCTGCAGCCAAAGGCCGACTCTCTTGCCTGCAACATCGTATATGCGTCTAGCGGGTACTAGAGAACATGGTCAGTTCTTCAATGGACTCGCGGGCCCTTCTTTGGATATTCGGAGTCACTAGAAAGATCGGTCTGAGCACGTGAAACTTACAAGGGATTTTGAATTTTGAAGCAGCCCACGGGCTAGCTATGCAGCTGCGCTGAACCTTTCGCTACGCCATGGCGGCTAAACCATGTCATGAGGACAGCATGAAGACCCCTTGTTCGCCAAAAGACTCACCGCAAGTCAGTTTCATCATCTCATCCGGACCTAGGGGTCTGAAACATATTCCTCAATGTGATCCTCTGAAACCCAAAGAAGCAAAATATAAAATGTCCCAAGGGCCTACCTAGGGATTGAGTGACCTGTGCCGTGGGCTACCCTAAACCCTAAACCCTAAACCCTACTAAACCCTAAACCCTATAAACCCTAAACCCTAAACCCTATAAACCCAAAACCCTTAACCCTTAACCCTAAACCCTTAACCCTAAACCCAAAACCCTATAAACCCTAAACCCTAAACCCTAAACCCTAAACCCTAAACCCAAAACCCAACACCCTTCCTGTGCCCGTGGGCTACAGTCCCCCCGAGCCGCTCGCAGCGCGGCTGCTGCCGGAGTCCAGGTCTTCTCGCGAGACCGGGCAAACCTGGGTCGGGGTCTCTGAGCATGTACGTAATACACTATATTCTGATATGATATATTATTATAATATAGTATAGTATACTGTAATCTTATATATATATGTACCATCTACAATACGCAGTATATTCACGATAAACTGAACTTATTATTACAATGTAGAGAATCTACATTGCGCTGACTATATGGCAGCGGCAAGACAGGCGTTGGCGGAACAGTCGCGCCAGATCTACTTGGAGGTTCATGGCACTTATTCAGCAATTGTAACTGTACTTCTAACGGTACTTATAGAAGCCCCTTAAGGCCCTAACATGGTTATAAGTACAGCTATAAGTACAGTTATCATTGGTTAATAAGTGCCATGAACCTCCAAGTACAAGCGCAACCTGGGCCTCTTGCCATTCGCTTCCGCCCCTCCTCCTTCTCGGCTTCGGCCCACGTGACTGTGCACCTATCAGGTGTCGGGTTGCTGGGGTAGGTAAGGTAGGGTAGATTAGGGTAGGCCAGTAGGGTAGGGTAGGTAGGGTAGGGTGTTGCAGACAGGCGCAGGTGGTGCAGCAGTGCAGTGCCTGCAGCTTCAGGACCGTTTGCGCGCAAGCGCATCCCTCCCCAAGGTACCGAACATGCTCCCCCCAAAGAAATCAGGAAGATAAGCCTGTGCAAGCCAGGGAAAATTTGAGAGCCGGACTGCTTCACATCCTGACAGAGTGACTTTTGTTTCACTAAGGTCCTTTCTTAGGCTGTTCCATGTCACTGAGGTACAGGATCTACAAGGAGGGGCCCCCTTACTATACTAGCTGTAGCTAAGGGACTTATAAACTAATTTAGGATCCGTCTTAGAACTACCTAAACCCTAAACCCTAAACCCTAAACCCTAAACCCTAAACCCTAAACCCTAAACCCTAAACCCTAAACCCTAAAACCCTAAAACCCTAAAACCCAAAACCAAAACCCAAAACCCTAAACCCTAAACCCTACACTGTGACCCTACACCCTACACCCTGCACCCTACACCCTACACCACCCTACACCACCCTACACCACCCTACACCACCCTACACCACCCTACACCACCCTACACCACCCTACACCACCCTACACCCTACACCCTACACCCTACACTACACCCTACACCACCCTACACCCTACACCCTACACCCTAAACCCTAAACCCTAAACCCTAAACCCGAACCCTTATAACTAGGGGGGCCTCTCCTTGTCTAGACCGTGCTCGCATGCCGCATGCCGGTCCTTCAACGCGCGGATGTGGGAGAGCTCCTCTGGCATCGTCCGATTCAGCAGGGCTGCAATCACGGCCTGAGACTATGCGGTTTAGGGTTTAGGGTTTGGGGTTCAGGGCTTAGGGTTATAGAACACGATTGGGGACAACACCGTGTGAGCAGGGCAACCCCTCAACCCTAAACCCAAATACACAAAGCCATGCGCCATGTAGCTAGAACCGTTGATGACCCGAGTGGCGCAGTCCCGGGAAACCCTCCCTCCCTCCAACCGGTGGTCTGGTGCTTTGATGGCGGGCTTAGGGTTAGGGTTACAGGGCTTAGGGTTACAGGGTTTGGAGAATATTCCCTTCATAGGAACTCCCCCAAGATAGGTGCCTTAAGTTTGGGGAAACCCCCCCCCCATGTCCGTCATGTCCCGACGTGCCTCCTTGTTGTAAAGGTTTCCGAGCTTGCACGCCTCATCGGCTGAAAGGCTCAGCTGTCCACAGTGTGCAAAAAACACACTCCTCAATTCAACCAGAATATAAACAACACGTTTTCGCTTTTTTTTGGCCTCTACATAAACAAAACCCATGAGCAGACTGTGGAGAAGATTGGCTCTGCAATTTGGCCAAGCTCGGGACAACCACTGGATCACGTAGAGCCTGAATCAGTCAGATTGGCTGGCTCTTAGTAGTGAGTTTGTACATATGAAGTCCCTGAAAGGGCTGTGTGAACCTAATTTCCCAATTCCCTACTAAGCGTACTGCCACAGCTGAGCATGCACGTCCATGCACATTGCTGGGCAAGCCTGAGCATGTATGCATACTCCATCAGCTCACTTGCAAAACCTTTTGTCGACTGAGTAGGGTGATGGGCCCAACCTGCCTCCTGCGAAATCATGCAGGTGCTCATGCGAACTCGATGCCTGCTCGAAGGGCAGCTGTGCAGATCAACATGGCGAAGAAAGCGCGAGGAAGGTGCAAGCAAGCGCTTGTCGCAGCTGCCACTTAAGTGCGAATCTGAGTGTACCGCGCACGGCCGCTCTCTTGAAGCATATGTGAACCCTGAACCCTGAACCCTGAACCCTGAACCCTGAACCCTGAACCCTACACTTGCCATAAACCCTAAACCCTAAACCCTAAACCCTAAACCCTACGGCGGCCTCTCGAGGTTGCCCAATCCACGGTCCTCTGCGCAGCCCGGAAGTTACCAGCACGGCTGCAGTATATAATGTAGTAGAATGTAGTGTGTATATATATATATATAACAAAAGTAATACAATGCAGACTGTATATGTATACATATATATATATATATATGTGTATACTTATTTATGTATTTACGCTCCTATTTGTTTATTGATTTATTTATTCATGGATTTGTTACTTGCTTATTGAAGTGATATTTATATTTGTATAATTGTACATATATATATATATATTGCCTGAACAAAAATATAAATAAATAAATAAATTTATCCATATATAAGTTACAGACTCAATGGGTTTTCGTAGTATGGAGTGTTTTGGGGCTCTTCAGGGTCACCTCGAAGACCATCTGGACATAGCTGTTCATCTCGCCGAGTGAGGCCGCCTGAGCTGACTAATGCACAATTCTTTCGCGCCTCTCGAGGCCCTCCGCTTCTACGTCCGTTATTCCACGAAGGGTTTGGGGTTTGGGGTTTGGGGTTTAGGGTTTAGGGTTTAGGTTCCACAAGTCTGGTGAGTTCCGGCAGGGATATCACTTTACAGTCGAGCCCAGATGTGCAGATTGTTGTCACATGTTGCTGCAGTGTGTTTGGTTGCTCGCGCCCTGCCATTATAACCTCTGCTGAAGTGTGGACAGGATTCTACGACTTGACGTTCGGTAGCTCTTCTGGAGAACTTAGTGGGGACCATGTACCTATGTATTCCCTTTTGCAAAGGGTCGGTTAGAAGGATGTCGGGCATCTCATTCCCTAACTCCCTATCATGAGAATAACGATGTCACCACCGGGGTCATCTGATATAGACCCCCCCCAATAATAGGATTCCCGTATAATCAGGACCCCAAGAAGGTACCCCTATGTTCGTAAACGCCCAAATGGCATGACCCTTCTTGCAGATCGTCTTCATCCTCTTACCTGCTGTACCTTCGTGCCCCACTCAGAGCAAGTTTATAGGTACCCTGGCCGATCCCTTGCAGATTCCTTGTGCAAGCTGAGCTGTCGGGGACCATGCCAGGGCCCCGGCATATCTGTCCCCGCTGCCCTGTGCAGGGTTTAGGGTTTAGGGTTTAGGCTCGCGGAAGCTTCATGCTTTGGAGGAGCGTAGAACTCAAAGGCTCAAGGATGCAGAGCAGCGCCACTGACACAAACCTCACAAAGCCTAAGGGCCTCAACAAGTCCGAAAACCCCTAAACCCTAAACCCTAAACCCTAAACCCTAAACCCCAAACCCTAAACCCAAAACCCGGGTGCCTTCGTGAGACCCCATCCCTTGGTCTTCACCATGGTCGCCCGATCAATGACCTCCAATGGCATGTTGGAGGAGACGTGCGGCTTCTCAGTCTGAAGCCGAGTTTAGGGTTTAGGGTTTAGGGTTTCGGGTTTAGGGTTTAGGGTTTAGGGCTGGAGTATAAGTTCGCATGCCCACAGGAAGGTTGGACCCTTTGACATGCTGTGAATAAAATGCTCGTAAGTATGATCCTCTTAAACCCAATAAGGGAAAAAACTAGGGATCACATTGCAATATCTGTCCCAAAGGGCTGCCTCTAATGGGGCTGAGTTGTGTCAAGGCTGTCCAGGCGTCTGGGGCTCAATTTCAGCCGGGGCCCCAAGGACGAAACGGTTCCCCCCGAACTCCGAACTCCGAATCCTGAACCCTGAACCCTAAACCCTAAAGCCTAAAGCCTAAACCCTCAAGCCTAAACCCTTAAACACAAACCCTAAACCCCAAACCCGAAACCCTCGCCCTGGCCTGGCCGCCATCTCCCCCCATGTTGCCAACGACCCCCCGGGGCCCTGTCCGGGAAATTGGGGCCCTTGGGGGGGGGGACCTGTAAGACCGACTTGAGCCGTAGCCTTCCAAAGCGGGAACTTGGCGTGGCTTCCAGGGTTTAGGGTTTAGGGTTTAGGGTTTAGGGTTTAGGGTTTAGGGATGTGATGAGGGTTTAAGATGCTTCAGAAAGATTGCCGCGAGTGGCGTTTTGAAGCGCGACAAGCGTGCCGGGCAACAGGATGCACGAATTGCCTATCTACGCTGGGAGTCTGGTTGTGGACTGCCTGTATCTGCCTCTATCTCTGCTGATAAATGAACTCCGTAGCTCACGGCTCCCAGGCAAAGGCGGACTTCCCCAGCAAACGCACGAACCCCACGTTTGCGTGAGACACCCAGCGGCGAAGTGCGTAGCACACTTCACCTCAGGCGGCGAAGCCCAAGGCAGCCTCGGCCAGGAACTTTCTTCAAGAGTTTGGGAGCTTGCTGCATTAGTTTTCGGAGACGTGGACGGATCCCAAACCCTAAGCCCTAAGCCCTAAACCCAGACCTACAGTAAGGGTCCAGAAGTATCAAAACACCAGATCGAGGTCCACGGACCGAAGGTCCAGGAGCGGTGCAGCTTGGACTTTAAGGCTGAGAGTTCCTAGAACTGGGGCTTTGCGAAAACCAGGGACCCCGAATATAGACCCCCGAATAGTAGGGTTCCCTTCTGACAAGGACCCCAATAAGCTAAAACGCCCTAACTACGCCAATTTCAAGCCACTTAAATTTGGTACTGGGTAACTTAACATTCTCTTGTTCCCCTTCGTCTCGCAATCGAAGTGGCGGCCGATAGGGTTCAGGGATCAAGGTTTTTAGGGCTTAGGTCAATTCTGTTGTGTATTCAACACTATACAACACCACTGTCGATCTCCATTCAGACTTGTTGCTTTTGTCCCTTACCAATCTCAGATAATATAGGGGCCTGAATGATTAGAATAGGGTTTTGGGGGGCTAGCATAGTATAATTATACACAAAGGGATCATAAGGGAATATGATTAGAACAGGGTTTGGGGGGCTAGTATAGTAAAAGGGATCATAAGGGAATACGATTAGGAAATGTTCCGACCCCTATGTTACGCTGCACTACCCTTCCACCCAGGAGATCATCCGGCCTGCCTTGCTTGTCTGCCATCCGGCGGTTTAGGGTTTAGGGTTTAGGGTTTAGGGTTTAGGGTTTTAGGGTTTGGGGTTTAGGGTTAGGGTTAGAACGAAGCCTTTTGCCAACACTAGTAGAGTCACTCGAAATTTGGTGTTTTTCTCACGCCGCGTGCGTGCCAGGGGCGGGGCGACCATAAATATGCAATGTAAATAAAAAAAATATGCACATGTATATATATATATATATATGGACAATATATATATATATATATACATATACATATACATATACATATACATATACATACACATATACATCTACGTATACATCTACATATACATCTACATACACATACACATATACATATACATACACGTACACATATATGGGTGCATATGTATAAAAAACACACACACACACGATGTGATAAGGAAGTCCTCTGCAGTGAGAACCGGGACCCCTCGAAACTAAGCCTAAAACCCAAACCTTAAACCCTAAACCTTAAACCCTAAACCTTAAACTCTATAAACCTTAAACCCTAAAAAAACCTTAAACCCTAAAACCTTAAACTCTAAACCCTAAACCCTAAACTACCCGACTCAATCCGATGCTCAAGACCTGACAGAGACAAGCTCGGGCGCCAACTCAAGCAATGCCGCGCAGGCCCAGCAAAAGAGCCGGCCTCGAGATCATGACCAGATTAGGAGTTTAGGGTTTAGGGTTTAGGGTTTAGGGTTTATGGATATGATGATAAGGGAACCCTTTTGTTGGTTGATTGCTTTATAAGGGAACCCCAAAAACCAAGGGAAAAGGGTACCACTGTGGTGGCTTAAGGACAGATGGCGGAACTGAATCAAAGCACTGCAGTCCATAACAGGCGGCGTGAGCTCTGAAAGTCTGAGTTGGAGGACTCGCCGCGTGGTCACAGTGATGAATATGCACTTGCACTCACAAGATCGCATTCGAACAATACCTGTGTTGCTCAACTGCGCAAGTTCCAGCCCAAAGCCCTTATTCTCTGGCGGTTTATTGTTTAGGGTTTAGGGTTTAGGGTTTAGGGTTTAGGGTTTAGGGTTTAGGGGTTCGCCCAAGCAAGATCTCAAGGCCATGTGAACAGACGGCCTCTTTCTGTCAGAACGCTGCCTGTTCCTCGGCATGCTGCACGTGAGAGGGTTTAGGGTTTAGGGTTTAGGGTTTAGGGTTTAGGGTTTAGGGTTTAGGGTTTAGGGTTTAGGGTTTAGGGTTTAGGGTTTAGGGTTTAGGGTTTAGGGTTTAGGGCTTAGGAATGGCACAGTTGGACCAATGCACACTTGAACTCTGCTGGAACAAGACAGTTCAGGCTAAGTATGTCCTCATCCCCTACAAGCACTTGCCAAGACAACGTCGTGCAAACGCGCCTTGATGAGACTCATCCATTCGGAGAGGGGTCACTCTTTGTACTCGGGATCGGAGACTTTTGACATTCATTGCAATCTTAGAACATTTCAGCAATTCAAGGAATATGTGTTCGCTAGTATCTGCGCGCACTGGCTGCTTGGTTTGTCTACTTTGCTGTGGAGAGGCAACACCCTAAAACCCTAGAACCCTAAAACCCTAAAACCCTAAAACCCTAAAACCCAAAAACCCTAAAACCCAAAAACCCAAAAACCCAAAAACCCTAAAACCCTAAAACCCTAAAACCCTAAAACCCTAAAACCCTAAACCGACTTGCTTGCCAGAAGTCGTCCGATTGCCAAGGAAGAGGTCGTCGTCTTCCTCCTCCATGGAGTGAGCCATTTTGCCGCGGCCAGCCTGCCCAGGTTTAGGGTTTAGGGTTTAGGGTTTAGGGTTTAGGGTTTCCCAGCCTTTCCCCACTTTGGCCATCTAAACTCTCTTGCACAACCAGGGACAGCGCGCGAACATCTGATTACTTGATGCCGTGGCCACGAAAGCTAGACGAGTCGCTTTATGTCTTCACCCGCATATTGGGGTTTGGGGTTCTGGGTTGGAGGCTCAGGTAATGGTGCCGATAGAGGCACGGATCGAAGTTGGGGATGACTTCGAAGGTTGTGTCAGGGGAACGTAAGAGCAAGGGCAAATGGGGCCATATGAGTAGTTCCCAACATCGGGGTACCCCTTGGGTACCCCTTTCATACCCCAAATAGAATAGAATCCCTTTGGAGGGATCTTTAAAAGGTACCCCTATGTTCGGAAACCCCCGTATGGGGCCGCAGGCTGGCCTTTGCCGCCTTGGACTTCAGCAGCTTGTTTTCTTTGTCCTGCACACATTGGACTTTCGGTTTCAAACACTTCCTCAAGTGCCGCACCCCGCGCCTGCATGAACGGTGCGTCTCAAATTGTGGTCCCAAATTTGGGATACCCTTTGCATGCATTTTGGTCAACTGGCAATGTGGGAGGCTCTCGAAATTACAGTCTCTTTACGGGTTCCTACTGCCTGCACCCTTACATGACAAAAGCATATTTGCGGTACATTACGGGTCCCCTGTTTTTGGAAATCCCCCCCATATCCTCCTCCTCTCGCCGTTTCTTACGTACGTGGCGCAGCCAAGCGCGCTCCCGGCGCTGGGCCATCTAGGAGCACGGGAGCAAAGATTTGGGGGCGCTACATTTGGGTATAGTTCTCTAAGTTGTGATCCTTTTGCCGGTCCCCTATGCAACACAGCACCCTGAAAAAGGGACCCAAAAAGGGACCCTAATCTAGAGAACTTTCCATTTAGGGTTCTGCTGCTTCAGGTTGACACGTTGTTTGAGGGCTTTGCTGCCTGACCCCTACTTTGTTGCAGGTGTCCTCGAATTTTCGCAGATCGCACCCTAAACCCTAAACCCTAAACCCTAAACCCTAAACCCTAAACCCTCGACCCTAAGCCCTAAGCCCTAAGCCCTAAACCCTAAACTCTAAGCCCTAAACCCTAAACCCTAAACCCTAAACCCTAAACCCTGAACCCCAATCGAGGCGTCGGCTGTCAAGTCGGCCTCGTCCGCCTCCTGAGCCAAGCGATGGGAAGGGCTCCAAGGTTTGGGCTTTGAGGAATTTGAGAGGGTTTAGGATATAGGGTTTAGGGTTTAGGGTTTCGGGGTTTAGGGTTTTGGGGCTTAGAGCTTAGGGCTTACTTGGAGGTTCACAATTACTTGGAAGTGGGTAAAAAGTACCCTAAATAAGGTCATAACCATAGTTGCCCTACTCATAACACTGCTTATAGTACCCACGAACCTCCAAAAGTGCGTTCTGAGGACTCTAGGGTTTTTCAGGGTGTAGGGCTTTGGATTGGGGTTTTTGGCTTTGTGGGGTCCTTTCCCCTACACCCTACACCCTACACCCCTGAACCCTGAACCCTGAACCCTGAACCCCTAAACCCTAACCCTAAACCCTAAACCCCAAACCCTAAACCCTAAACCCCCCAGCGTGGCCTCGCTGCTTGGCGCCTCCTGCGTGGCATCCCAGGACTCCTCCAAAGCGGTGGCCTGCAAAGCCCAAGAAACGCCAAGGGAGCCATGTGGGGTTTAGGGTTTAGGGTTTAGGGTTTAGGGTTTGGGGTTTGGGGTTTGGGGTTTGGGGTTTGGGGTTTGGGGTTTAGGGTTTAGGGTTTCGGGGCTTAGGGCTTATGCACTAGGGCTTGGGGGTTTAGGGCTTAAGGTATTTCCTACAGTAGGGCTGGGACTTTAGGGCTTAGGGTACATACCATAGGGCTTAGGGGTTTAGGGCTTCGGGTATAAGGTGCCGGACCATACCCCAAAAAAAGCGAACGAGAACTGATCATTTTGTGGCTATTTCCTTGCTACAATTGGAATGGTTTAGGGTAAGGTATTTCCTACTGCAGGCTTTAGGATTCAGGGTTTCGGATACCTCTTCTGCACCCAACATGCGAACATCAGCAGGTGAAAAACGGGTGGACTCTTGTGCAAAGGGAGCCCCCCACACCTGCTGGCCATTTCTGCGATGGCCCGAAATCAATCTCCACTATGCAACCCCCCCCCTTGTCTAATATCTGAAGATTCCCAGAATGATATGATACAGTAAGCCACATCAAGTACCTCAATATACCCAAATGTGCTACAGGTACCCTTGTAGAACTCTTCTATGCCATACAAAAAAACACATTGCAAAACACACACCAGTAACGGCAATCTCTATGTCTGGGGAGGGGTGGAGAGGGAGCCTTCATCCCCTTCAGCCCTGAACCTATTTATCGGATAGCCCTAAACCCTAAACCCTAAACCCTAAACCCTAAACCCTAAACCCTAAACCCTTGGATCCTCGTGCCTTCGCCTGCGGTTCCTCCTCAGGGGCCTGCGCCTCCACCACCTTCGCGGCGGTCTGCTCGGTGGCCTGCGGGTTTAGGGTTTAGGGTTTAGGGTTTAGGGTTCAGGGTTCAGGGTTTAGGGTTTAGGGTTTAGGGTTTAGGGTTTAGGGTTTAGGGTTTAGGGGCCCGTTTCGCGTTCTTGGTCTTCTTGGGATCTTGTGTCTCTATGTCATAGTAGGTTGGCTCCTTAAACCCTCTGAAACATAGGTCCTCTTACGCATTCTTAAGCCCTATACTTCAGGCAAAACGTGAAATTTTACGTGAAATTTTGGGGCTACCTAGCATGTGGTGCCAGAAGGGGCCCTTAGCTAAGACCAATCTCCGGCTAACCCTAAACCCTACACCCTAAACCCTAATCCCTGTCCGGTGCCTCCGCATCACCGAGCACAACTTCGAAGGGGAGGGTGGCGGAGAGTTCTGCGCCAAGGCAAGCAGCGCCCGCATTGTTATATCTAGGGTTTCGGGCTTAGGGTTTAGGGTGTCGGGTTTAGGGCTTACAAAAAGGGTGGGTTTAAGAACCTGACACAAGGCAAGCAACGCCGCACTGTTGTTGGGGTTTAGGCTTCCGTTTGGGGGATAAGGGGGCGTTTAGGGCTCAAGAACCTCAAGAAACCCCAATGCCTACGTTTTTGTAGGTTACGTAAGAGACTCCCTAAGGGGTTTCAGAGTGACACAAGCCTATTCTTAAGGTTTAGGGTTTTGGGTTTAGGGTGCTCTGCTTCCCGTCACAGCTGGCAAGCATTGAACAACCCAGAAGCGAAGCGTCAGCGCCTGCATCTGCATCTGCAGGCCTGAGAAGCACGAGGGGGGTTTAGGGTTTAGGGTCTAGGGTCTAGGGTGGGTCAAACATTCTGTTGGTCATTTCGTGTCCGAAGGTTGCAAAAAAAGAGAATGAAATCCTGAGGGTGGATCCAGAGAAGAGCTGGGCTTGTCACAACATTTCCATGATTTCCATGCGGCCAGGTGGCGCCTCCCCTGGTCCTGGGACAGGACAGAGGACAAGCTACATCCCTAGAGTTCTAAGACATATTCAACATACCCCTTGGGCATACCCCTTGCAAGAAAGTAAGGGGCATGGGAAAGTTATTCCTTTTATTCCCTTTTTAGAGGTTAAGGGGTATGGGTTTGGGGTATGTTGAGTTATTCTTAGAAGAGTGGCGGGACCCGGGCACAGAAGGACCCCATCATCCTAGACGCTCTGCAAGCTTTCGTGTCGCTTGCGGGTTCAGCAGCTTGCAGTCTCAGTCGTTCGCTTTGCTTGGACCATTGACTTTGGCACCCCGAACCCCAAACCCGAAACCCTAAACCTTAAACCCGAAACCCTAAACCCTGAACCCTAAACCTAAGGACCAGCTGATGCTCTGAACTTCCTCGCAAAAGGAGCCTCTGTCTGCAGCATCGAGCACGACTTCAAAGGGCATCGTGGCGCTGATGTCCAGGTCCCCTTTAGGGTTTAGGGTTTAGGGTTTGGGGTTTGGGGTTTGGGGTTCGGGGTTTGGGGTTTAGGGTTTAGGGTTTTGGGTCCGTGAGACCAAGAAAAAAGGGAGCTTAAAGTATCTGTCATGCGGGTCGGTTCAACACGGCTGAAGAGTGTGGGATCTTTTTGAGTGACGACTGCTGCTGCTGCTGCTGCTGCTGCTGCTGCTGCTGCTGCTGCTGCTGCTGCTGCTGCGGCGCAGCGTCTACAGATGCCAGTTGTTTGCTCGGGGGCTTCGAAAAACTCATGATTTTTGAGGGGAATGCTACTCCATTCGGGGTACATAAGGCGTACCCCATATTTGAAGAGACTTGACAACTTGGAAAGATTCCGGCAGTGTTGGGTGAACGGGCACGGCATGTGGCGAACGTGTTTCCAGCAACTGCAACATGCATGTGTTTCCTGCCAAAAAAGGGGCGCGGGGGGGTACCCCCTAAAATGTCCCCTAAATACTACACGTAGAATCCTGCCTTCCCAAAACCCTCAACCCTCTCAGAGGAATCCCGCGTGTAAATTGGGAAAACCCTAAACCTAAACCCTAAACCCTGCCTAAACCCTAAACCCTAAACCCTAAACCCTAAACCCTAAACCCTAAACCCTAAACCCGAAACCAAGCCCCCCCCCCCCCTATTTGGCCGCATTGAATGCAGGGCTGGGCCTTCCGTCTGGTCTCGTTGAGGTTCTTCTCTGTGATCGTGGCCCTGCTCGGCCAAAGGAATGCCTCAGATTGAGGGTTTAGGGTGTACCGGGTCTAGGGTTTGTAGGGTTTATAATTAGGGTTTCAGCGGCTTAGGGCTTGGGGTTAGGGTTTTACAGGCTCCAGATATTGGTTTAGCCGGACTGAAGCAGATGGATGTCATAGCAATGTATGCCCACAGAAAGTGCCTCTCTCGACGCTCGACCAGCAAGATCTACAGAATACGCTATGCCCGAGCCACATCCGAATCGAACCCTAAATTCATGCAGAACCCGCCCCCCCCCCCCGTTTCACATCGCAAGGCAACGGCTACTACAAAGGGAGTGGTGCCAACATATTACGAGTAGCATCGGATCTCCCCCAAACCCTAAACCCTATCGAGTCCCAAATGTCCCAGATCCTTTCATTCCCTTCTGGGAACTTGCAGATGACAAACCAGGTCGTCGGCCTACTTCTACCCGTGGACCAAGGATGGCGACCCCAGGAGGGAACCGTAAACCCTAAACCCTAAACCCCAAACCCTAAACCCTAAACCCTCAAACCTTCTGGGGAGGCACGACATCTGCAAAGTGACGGCAAACCTCCGGCGGGACCCGAAGCCCTGTCGGCCCTAGAGCCCTAGAGGAAACAAGGAATTCAAACCCTAAACCCTAAACACCCCTAAACCCTAAACCCTAAACCCTAAACCCTAAACCCTAAACCCTAAACCCTAAACCCTAAACCCTAAACCCTAGACCCTAAACTGAGGATGTAGCCCTTCGCTTCGGGCACTCCTCCTTCCTCGCTGGGGACAGGGCCCACCTCGGTGTCTACTGGGTCTGCCACTTGTGGATGCGCTGCGCCTGAGACAGAGTAGAGATGGGGGGTTAGGGTTTAGGGTTTAGGGTTTAGGGTTTAGGGTTTAGGGTTTAGGGTTTAGGGTTTAGGGTTTAGGGTTTAGGGTTTAGGGGTATCTTATTGGGGTCCTCTTTATGAGGGAATCCTACTACTAGGGGGCCTATATAAGGGGTCCCCTATTTTCGTAAACCCCCAGATGCATAGGTGTCAATTCGTGACCACATGGCACGCTGGTCAATTCCGGCGCCTCCGAAGACAGGTCCCTCGAACCCTAAACCTAAACCCTAAACCCTAAACCGGCGGAGGGTTTTTTTTTTGCAAAGGTGTGGCTCGGCCCTGTCCCCTTGCAAAGATGTGGCTCGGCCTTGGTCCCCAACCCCCCCCCCCCCACACCCCCTCCACGCCCCCTCCCCCCACCCCCTCCACCCCCCTCCCCCTCCACCCGACCCATCGCCTCCACCAGCCCACCCCATCCCCCCACAAGAAAAAAGCCGGGGGCCTGAGGGGGGCGCAGCCCCCCCCCCCATTTGCAAACTCAATGCTTGCATGATGGGTTTCAAAAAGACTCATATGCTTTGAAACAAGCTTGCACGGCTTAAAAAAGCGGGGGGGGGTTGGGGGGGGCGCAGCCCCCCATTTGCAAACTCAATGCTTGCATGATGGGTTTCAAAAAGACTCATACGCTTTGAACCAAGCTTGCACGGCTTAAAAAAGCGGGGGGTTTGGGGGGGGGGGGGGGGCGCAGCCCCCCCATTTGCAAACTCAATGCTTGCATGATGGGTTTTCAAAAATTCATATGCTGGACGCAAGCTTGCATGGCTTAAAAAAGCGGGGGGTTGGGGGGGGGGGGGGGGGGCGCAGGCCAGGCCAAGCCGAGCCAGCCACGCCAAGCCGAGCCAAGCCACGCCGAGCCGAGCCAAGCCAAGCCAGGCCAAGCCGAGCCCAGCCGAGCCAAGCCAAGGAGCCAAGCCAACCAAAGCCAAGCCAAGCCAACTAAGCCAAGCCCAAAGCGAAGTTGAGCCAAGCCACAAGCCAAGCCAAGCCGGAGGACAAGCCAAGCCAAGCCAGGCCAAGCCAAGCCACACCTTTGCAAGGGGACAGGGCCGAGCCACACCTTTGCAAAAAAAAAACCGGGACCCCCCTAAACCCTAAACCCTAAACCCTAGAAAAAAAAAACATGGCGTGGCGTATACGCTGGCCTTCAACGGGCACTTCTGGAGCTGGCGGCGCTGGCTGCGCTGGCTGCGCTGGCGGCTCCGGCTGGGCCGAAGCAGTGCTGCCTGCACCGACTTAACATCTAGAGACCCCTAAACCCTAAACCCTAAACCCTAAACCCTAAACCCTAAACCCTAAACGCCTGTCGAGTCCCAAGTGTTGCAGATTCTTTGGATTCACTTCTGGGAACTTGCGGATGACAAACCAGGTCGTCGGCCTACTTCTACCTGTGGACCAATGGCGACCCCAGGAGGGAACCCTAAACCCTAAACCCTAAACCCTAAACCCTAAACCCTAAACCCTAAACCGAAAAATCTTCTGGGGAGGCACGACGTCTGCAAAGTGACGGCAAACCTCCGGGACCCGAAGCCCTGTCGACCCCAGAGCCCTAGAGAAAACAAGGAAAACCCAAACCCTAAACCCTAAACCCTAAACCCTAAACCCTAAACCCTAAACCCTAAACCCTAGCATGGAAGGTGGGTCATCGGCTCGCCCACGATCTCTCAGAGGGCATGGGGGGGATTGCCTTGTATGAGCTGGGATGTGTCCCCATTACACTAACAGTCCTTTACTTAGTAGCTCAGTGATCATATTATAACAAGGGCACCCATTTTTGGTTGGTTTATAAGGGAACCAGAACCAAAAAAGGGAAAAGGGTACCACTGGGCTACCAAGTTAGTAGGAATATATTCGGGGGTACTACTATAATCCCGGTTAAGGACTGTCAGTACAGGGGCCAGGGGGAACATCCCAATATATGAGCTTCTTTGCATGCACCCTAAGAGTTCGGATCTTCCGGATCTCAGGCGGGGCCGCGGTCAAGCCGAATGCAGGGCAGCAGCTTGCGGCAGAGTAGAGAAACACACGCATGGCAGGCTTCCCTTATAAGGCCCCATCATGAGGGACCACTCATTTGGGCAACTTGCCTTAGAAAGACCCATGATGAGGGGCCGCTAATTTGGGGGAAACCCGCCAATTCAAAACCCTGCCGGCCGAAGAGCTCCCTGCCTGAAGCCGTGGCTTCAGCTGCTGAAGCCGTGACTTCAGCTGCAGCGCCCTTGAAGAAGTTTAGGGTTTAGGGTTTAGGGGCTAGGCTAGGGCTTCAGGGTTCAGGAGAATTTATGGGGAGTTTATGGGGAGTTTAGGGTGCCACATCTTGACGATGAGCAACTTACGTCCTGCCAAGAATGTGCTGGCTACGAAACGATGTGCTTGCTCGCATGGCGGAACGAGTTTTGCCTTGATACACCAGCTTCTTTCACGAAATCGCCTCTGTGACAATCGCCGACATCTAGTTGCTTGGTAGCCCAGTAGCCATATTAGAACAAGGGCACCCTTTTTTTGGTTGGTTACTTTATAAGGGAACCAGAACCCAAAAAAAGGGGAAAGGGTACCACTGGGATAAAAAGTTAGATTTCAGATCACCCCCACCGTGCCTCTCCCTCGTCAGGATGTCCCTGCGCCTCGGGGCCTGTCAAGATTCTATACAAAGGTCAGAAGTTTAGGGTTTAGGGTTTAGGGTTTAGGGAAGTTGGGCGAGGGGGCATCAACATCATGCCCTTGCACGTGGGTGCTCCCACCAAACTCGAAATCACGCCATGTCAACGGCCTGGACTGCACATTTTGAGGGTATCTGGGTGAAGGGACTGCCATAATTCAGTGTTGAAGCACTTGCACGTGGTGCAGCCTGCTAAAGCTCTACAGGGGTTCGGGGGGGCAGGGGGGGGGGGGGGGGGCTGGGCATCCTTCTGCTGCACATTGATGCGCCTTCCCTGGACTTCTTCGCTTTGGCCAGTTTGTCGGCCATCTTCTCCGCCAGCTTGTTTGCCTTTGGTATGCTTGGGAGGGGGGGTCGTGAGCACATATGTAGTAGAGTGTAACAATAAATACCATACGACATATCTACACATAACACTCACAAACGCGCATAGTCAGCTTTGCAGTATCCCAAAGCATTCCACCACTGCAGCTCCTTCACGTACGGCTTGATGTTAAATAGGATGGCCCTTGAAACCCTCTGAAAAGTATTCCTAAATATGGTCCTCTTAAACCCAACAAGGGGAAATACTAATCCTAAACCCTAAACCAGCCCTAAACCCTAAACCCTAAACCCTAAACCCTCAACCCTCAACCCTCAACCCTAAACCTCAAATGTCCACTAGTCATGTACAAACTCCGCCAAAGCCGGCGCCTCGGCAAGCGGCGCAGACTTGGTGCTGGAGGCCGACAGGGACGCCGAAGTCAGAGCTCGAGTCGCCTCCGGCCACCCAGAGACTCCCAATACCCCTTACGTAATTGAGGAATACTCCTCAAACCATATGAGGGAACCCTGCTGTAGTTTAGGGAATATTCCTTAATTATGGAAGATTCCTTAAACCATATAAGGAACCCTATTATAGTTTAGGCCACAGTCTCTTCCGGAAGCGCTTAGGGTGCAGGGTGGAGGGCGGTTTCAGGGCAACCGTAAACACAAGCTCAAGGATTCGGAGCCCTAAACCTTAAACCCTAAACCCCAAACCCCAAACCCTAAACCCTAAACCTGGCCTTGGAAGTGAGGACCTCAGCCTGCTTGAAGGACATGGAGCCTCGGAGCAGTAAGGGGGAACAAAGGGTTTAGGGTTTAGGGTTTAGGGTTTGGGGTTTGGGGTTAGAGTGACAATCATACTTTGGGATGTTCCCCCTTGTCCTAGCAGTTCTTAGTGGGGACTATAACAGGAGGTACTACAATCCCTCTTAAGGACTGTTAGTATAAGGGGGAACACCCCAAGTAGTGACAGTCATACTACTGAGAATTGTGCTACTTGTGTTTGCCGTGACAATCGTGCTAGCTCAGGAAAAGAACAGTAAAGATCGCAAATGATGATAGTAATAAGAAGAGCGATCGTGGTAACACTAGTAAAAAAGAATCGAAATGGTAACATGAGTACTTGTAAGAACAGATTCGTTGTGAAAAACACAGTCTTAAACATAGTCAATGATCGTTGTGCACACGTGAATGCAAACACACACACACAACCGAGTGCAAGGTGCTTGCTTCTTAGCGTTCGGGTAAGAGGATTGCACGTGTCGTTGGAGACCCACCTTGCTGCGGGACCGTTGGCCGGTTCTCTGCATTATAGGCTTAGGGCCCAAAGTCTTGGCTGAGGGTTAAGCCTGACCAGAATTCGCAGCATGCAAACCCCACAGCCTAATCCCAGAAGCACCGAAATCCTTACATCAAACCTGTAAACTCTAAACTCTAAACCCTAAACCCTAGAAGCACCAAGTCCTTGTTCGATTCGGCTCAGGGACGCTGGATGGTCTCGCGAAGCAACGCACGCTTGGAGTCGGAGCTCTTGGCGCTGGGAGGCAGGTCAACCTCTGAGGAAAGCTCCAAGGGGGTTTAGGGTTTAGGGTTTAGGGTTTAGGGCTGAGGAGGCACAGGATGCAGGACGGCTGCGAGAGAGGATGTAGGAGTAGAGGATGGGCGCGGGTCATGGGGCTCAGTTCAGGATGCTGCCTCTTGACAGCCTTCTCAAGACATGATGCATACATACATATATATATATATCATTATATTGATGTATGGACTTACTTGTGTATGGAAATGAAAACGTATGTGTTTATTTTAGAGCACGCCCACATGTGGAATGGCCGGCGAATATCGCTCGACCATGCGAACTTTGCAGCACTCTGGCCTGGAGGATGCCATGTGGATTGGTCTCCTGCATCCGGGGATCTTCTGAGGCAACAATGCAAGGTTAGGGTTTAGGGTTGCAGACTCTTGTAGTTTAGTCTAACAGGCCAGGCGCAACTTGCCTAAACAGGAAAGCGGCCAAGTGGCCTCATCCGACTCAGGCTCGACCCAGTCGAATGACAACGACGGCGCACTGAGAATTGATGACCTTGGAAAGAATCAGGGCCGGGTACAAGGAGGGCCCCCTTACCATACTAACTGTAGTGAAGGGACTTATAACCTAATTTAGGATTCTTATAACCCAATTTAGGGTTCTTATCACTCTACTTATGACAAGGGGGGCCCCTCCTTGCAGGGCCGGGTACCGTAGGAGCCTAAGTAATTAGAACAGGGTTTTGGGGGGTCATTATGGTCTAATTCGCTTCAGCCTTGATGATTCGATGCTGTCTCAACGACATCGAGCTATGGCTAGCTGCATATTTCCTGATCTAACAGCCGAGCAACATAGACTGAAGGTCTTGGCCATTGCTGGAATGGGCTTTGATTTTCTCCTGGCAGCAGATGTTGGACAAAAATGTGCAGGTGCGACCGTGCCACGCATTCGACGCTGGCACAACCTGTCACGTCGAAGACTATCCAAAACACCACATGCTCATAACATCTCATAACCCTGAACTTTAAAACCTAAACCCTATGAGCAGCCTCCCAAATTGGGGGATTACGAAAAAATATAGATCCCCAAGTAGCAGGACCCCCCAAATCATTAGGACTCCAATAAGGACCCCTGATCTCCGAAACCCCCAATTCGACAGACAGCAGCTCCGGACGGCTAAACCCTAAACCCTAAACCCTAAACCCTAAACCCTAAACCCTAAACCCTAAACCCTAAACCGCTCCGGACGGCCTTTCTCCTCTCGGCCTGGCTCCGCAACTGCTGCCGCAGTCTCTCGGAGGACTCCGCGAGCTCGAACTGACCTCGGCGGAACCGAAGCAATGTTGAGGGTTTAGGGTTTAGGGTTTAGGGTTTAGGGTTTAGGGCTACCCTAACTACCCTAACTACCCTAAACTACCCTAAACTACCCTAAACTACCCTAAACTACCCTAAACTACCCTAAACTACCCTAAACTACCCTAAACTACCCTAAACTACCCTAAAGCCTCAGCCCTGCTACGCGGCACGCTGAGTGTCGCGCTTGTCGACCTCTCCGGGAAGTGAACTTCGCGGGGCAGAGCGTCCAAGCCCGCCTCGAAGCCACCAATTTGTAATGGGATTAGGGTTTAGGGTTTAGGGGGATGCATAAGGTGGGCATTTCCCAAAGTAGGGCTTCAGGCTTAAGGGTTTAAGGGGTTAGAGGCTGACAGGGTTTAGGGTGTAGCCTCAAACTCTCAAAGCTTTTGAGCGCTCGGACATGAAAGTTCAGGGCTATTAAGGCTCAACACCCTAAACCCTGAACCCTAAACCCTAAACCTAATCCCCTAAACCCGAAACCCTAAACCCTAAACCCTATACCTTCTTCTCTGAGACTTCTTGCATATCACGTCGCCGTGCCTTCTCGCGCTCATCGGCGTCTTTCCGGCGATCTTTTTCTTCGTCGGAAGCCTGGGGCCAGCGCATGTCTCCCACTTGAAGGGTTTAGGGTTTAGGGTTTAGGGTTTAGGGTTTAGAGTTTAGGGTTTAGCGTTTAGGGTTTAGCGTTCAGGGTTTAGGGTTTCATGGGTAGCTATAAGAGGGGATATACATAGGGTAATTATAGTTATAAGCTAAGCTATACATGGTCATGACATGTCACAACCTTGTCTCCTTATCTAGGGTACTTACAACCCTACTCATACCTACCTTTGAACCTCCAAGTATGTGTTCCCCTCTGGCCCACATCATCCCACATCCTCGAGCCGGTAGCATGGCGCCTGCACCAAGTTGGCTTCATCCGCGAGGCTGTAGCCACTGCTCTTCGCCTGCGTTGCGCGGAAGGCCATTCTGCTGGCAACGGGCGTGGCCTTCATCTGTTTTTTGCTGGCGCTCGTATATATATATATATATATATATGCGCATCCATCTACAAGTACATATTGCAGGTATCACAGCTGGCTGAAGATTTGTTGTTGAATGTGTGGAGGACTCGACCATAAGTGCAGTCGACGGTGTTGTTGAAATGATGTAACATGAAGGTTTGTCTCTACAAGCCAGCTTGCGAGATCTTGTCAAACATGTAGGTGGAAATCTTGTGCTGGATTAGGCACCGCCTTTTGACACAATCCGACTGCGCCCATCTACCGGACCAACAAACAGAAGCCTGTTTCCCGTGGAGCTGGGCGCCTGGTCCAGACGCTTGTTTGGGATCTGCCCGCGGCGCACCTCTTGCCTGCTCAGGAGCCGTAGCGCGCGCGCCTTGCAGGGTAGGCAGGTGAAGGGGACTTCCCAGGGACTCCAATACCCCTGAGTTACGGAATACTTCCTAAATTATAATAGGGTTCCTTATATGGTTTAAGAAATATTCCTTCATTAAGGAGTACTGGAGTCTCTGGGTCCCTGAAAAGTGATTTCGCTTGGGTACGTAGAACGTCAGAGAGCGCTGCTGATTAGTGTTTCTTTTCTGCACTCCCGGCCTGCTTCACCAGCCAAAGAAGGAACGGGTGGTGTGGGCTCGCCGCGTCCTGAGGCAAACCAGAGACTGCAATTGTGGAATCCGCCTGACCTGTAAAGCCCTATTGCAAACCTGAAAACGGCCAAAAGCCCTAAACCCTGAAACCCTAAACCAACATAAGAACCCTGAAACACTGAACTCTAAAACCCTTAGCCCCGAAACCGAAGAACTCTCACACCCATCCAGCCTTGTCCTCAGCACGGCGCTTCTCTGAGGCCTTGTAGCTGGCTAGTAGGAACCTTGGAGGGGTTGAGGGTTTAGGGTTTAGGGTTTATTTGGTGGGGTAGGGTTTAGGGCATCTAGGGCTTCGAGGGTGGGTGTTCAGGGCTCTTTGGGGTGTTTAGGGTCTTTGCTGTAGGGTTAGGTTTCTCTTATTTTTCTATGTAGGGGGGGGGTGGGGGGAGGAGGTTGGGGGAGTGGCAGGGGGGTGTGGTGGGGTTTCTTAGATGGTTTGGGGGGGGGGGGGTGATAGCTCGGTCGGCTCGCCAGTGATGTACTGTGAGATCAGATGAGTGGTTGAGACATGTCAGAGAATCTGAGTGCAGCACTGAAGGTTCACCTTCCCCTCATTGTTGAAGAGTGGCTGCGCCCCTGGCTCCTTCCTTTGCCAGTGCTCGACTTCTTCATGATTGAGACTACCAGTGGGGACACAGTTTCTGCCCCTATTCTCGGTTGCTTCAGTGATAGCACCATGCACGGATCTTGCGGCGTGCATCCTGGTGTAGTCACACGAGCTGGAACCTTCAGCCGGGCGTCTTCTTGCCAAGGTATCTTTCTGGACCAAGCTGGCGCAACTCCTGCAGCAAGTGGGGAATGCTTCTCGTTTGGTAACCTTCGACTGGGATTGAACGAGCTGATTCGCAACAAAAAACCCACGGCAGTGACAAATCCTGACCCCAAACAAGCCTCGACAAGGAGTGCAAAGCTTCGATTCGACGAGGGTTCGACGAAGGCGAAGGCAGGCGGGGCTTAAACGGGTTCAGGGTCTAGGGTCTAGGGTCTAGGGTTTAGGATTTAGGGTTTAGGGTTTATAAGGGTCTAGTTTTGACAGCTCGGGCGGTCTGCTACCTTTTGGGCGAAGCCCGAGTCCCCGTAACTAAATCCCTGGAAGAGCTAACCCCCCCCCCCAAGCCTCTAAAAGTCTAAAACCCTCCACAACTCTCTCCTCAACCTTTGACACCCTTCTGCTGCAGACCCTCCATACCCACACCCTTACCACCTATCACCCCCTCTTCCCCCCCCCCCCCCCTATTAGTCCCCAGTAGGACATGAGGGAATGAGGTACACCATAATCCCTTAGAGTACGAAGAACCCTAAACCCTAAACCCTAAACCCTTCGTGTCAAGGGGGGCAGACCCCCCTCTGGTGCCTGACATGCCATCGGCCGCAGCGCGAAGGCCAGGCGCAGGTCGTCGCCGCCGGCGCGCTCGGCCAGGAGCCGTCTCCAAGCCTCGGCTTCTTAACGGCTTCTCTGCTTTGGAGGTTTAGGGTTTATAGGGTTTATAGGGTTTATGGGGTTTATAGGGTTTATGGTTTTAGTTGTTTGGGTTTAGGGTTATAAGTACCCTGAATAAGGTTCTAGCCAGTTATAAATGCAGTTACCCTACTTGTAACCCCACCTACAATTACCCGTGAGCCTTCAAGTAGCCTCCCTGAATCATGTCAGGCTCTCCTTTGAGGGACTATAAGGGCTTACCGTTCAGGGTTTGGGGTCCTCCTTTGCAGGGATACCGTAAGAACTACTACTAAGTAAGAACTAAGAACTACTACTAAGAAGCCTGGATTTCATTTTGATAACAGGGTCGACTCCTGGCTGTCAACATCTGGAACAGCACTTGGAACAGCGAGCTGTAGACCCCCATTCCAGTCCATTGCAGCAGAGTCGCAGCTACGGACTCTTCATCAGGTTCCTGCACATCAGGGTTTAGGGTTTAGGGTTTAGGGTTTAAAGGTTTAGGGTTTAAAGTTAAGGGTATCTAAGAGCAGGTTGGGTACATGCGCATGGCTGGGCAAAGTCGAGCGGACCGCACCCGGTCACAACACATCCCAACATGGCATGTCAAGCTTTCCTTCCCTGTGCCCTTCCTTATATCACATAATGCATTCCGCCATTTAACACTTTTTTAAGCCCCACATGCCCAAAAAAAACCCGGGCCTCCTCATCGCCAAATTCTGGCTTTGCCTCCGCCTTCGGCCTGCCAAGGCAGCGCACGGGCTCGGGCGAGCGCGCAAACTCTGGGCTGTCACGCCCTCCGCCTGGCTCGCTTCGGCCCCTTCTGCGCGCGGGCGCGGCCAGGGCCCTTCGCGCACAGGTCAAGTCTGCCAAGGTAGGCCCCTAACCGGCATGCGTGCGTTATCGCGCGGTCCACTCTCCATGGGCCCTTGCTATTGCGGAACATGAGAGCTCCCCAGGCCCAGACCTGCGACTGGTCGTCATCGGCTTCGTCTGGGACTGCCTGCGGAATTCGCACAACATGACATCCAAGCCTAGGAACCTTCACAGTCCTTGGCACCCTAAACCCTAAACCCCAAACCCCAAACCCTAAACCCTAAACCCTAAACCCTAAGCCCACAGGCCCTTCCAAGCACGGCAACCCCCCGCTTCCCGAGCCTTGCGCTGCCGGCGCTTCCTGGGCGCCTGGTAAGGAAAAGTTGCATGAGAAGCATATGGGGGTCTAGGGTCTAGGGTTTAGGGTTTAGGGTTTAGGGTTTAGGGGTACCTTAAACCCAAGAAGTATATGGCGCTTGAAACCTGAAACAGTCCTGAAACCCCGCTGATCCCCTTTCATTCTTGAGCCCAATAAGGGGAAAAGCTTCATGAGAAGATATGGTCCTTGAAACCCCGCTGATCCTTAATTCTTAAACCACTAAGGTCACCAAGGGCAACAGTTTCATGAGACGTATATGGTCCTTGAAACCCCATTGATCCTCTTAAACATTCTTAAACCCATGACAAATATATGGCCCTTGAAACCTAAAACCCTACTAATGCCCCTCAACCCTAAACCCTAAACCTCTTAAACACTCTTAAACCTAATAATAAGTAAGGGCTGGTCTGCTGGGCCTCCTCGTCGGGGCTTAGGGCGTCCTCCTGGAGACTTGGCTTCTCCGCCTTCACCGATTTTCGGGACGCGACTTAAGGGACAACCGCGAAGTACCAGTGGGTTTAGGGTTTAGGGTTAGGGTTTAGGGTTTAGGGGTTTAGGGGTTTAGGGATTTAGGGATTTAGGGGTTTAGGGGTTTAGGGTTTGGTTTTTTTTGGGGGTTTCGGGTTTATACGCGGAGCGGGACGTCTACAGGAACGTAGGAGGATGCATGTAGGCCGTGGCCGGACAGTTGAGGACCCGAATTTCCTCTAGTGCTTGCAGATATGGGGGGTTTATGATATTGGGGGCATCCTTATTGGGGTCCTTACTTTTAATGGAATCCAATTTGAAAAAATCTATATCAAAATTCCCAGTCGTAAACCCCCCATATCTGGAAAAAAATCCGAAGTCTTAAACATCCCTCAGCCCTACTAAGGAGGAGGAGGGTTCCCAGGGCCCAGCACCGGTGATTGATGTGGGTTCGGAAGCCCTCTCCCTGAACCGGAAAGGATGGGGCCTGGAGAGCCCCCCCCCAAAAAAAAAACAAAAAGCTGGAATTCATTTGAGTCTAGGCCTGTTCAGGCGCCCGAACGCTGCAAAGGAGTTGTTGTTGGTAGTCAAGGATGGGGGACGTAGGCAGCCCCATAACCTTCTATGCCCTGAAACCAACCCTAAATGGCGATCTATATATGGTGATAGGTCCATAGGTGGCTTCTCTTGAAGGACTATCTAGGCTCGGGTTCGGGTCTGCAAGAAAAGCGATGCAACCTTGGCTAGAGTCTTTTGAGGTTTCCGTCCCATCCCAGCCACCGAGCCTTGCGCTGCCGGCGCTTCTTGGGCGCCTGGCGTCAGGCTGTGGAGTCGCCGTGACTCAGCCAGGATGGGCTATTCGGCCCTATATCCCAATCATGAACCCCATAAAGGGCCTTTTAAGGGATTGTAGGGTATAATAGTATAATAGCCCATCCTGGAGGTTCATGAACAACTACGAAGCCAAGAAGTCACTTTGGCCGGCTGGCATGATCGGCCTCCTCACCGGGGCTTGCGCCCTCCTCCTGAGGCCTGGGCTTCTCCGCCTTCGCCGTTTTTGGACACGACCATGTGCTAGACTGGGGTAGCATGGGCAGATCCGGGACGTCTACAGTGCATGAAGCATGAATGCAATGGAGGGAACCCTAAGCCCCAAACCCTAAACCCTAAACCGTAAACCCTACACCCTAAATCCTAGATCCATCTCAACCGGCATGCCTTGCGCTGCCGGCGCTTTCTGGGCGCCTGGTGTCGTGTCTGAGTCCAACATAATTATGAGGGTTTCCGAAAGTAGGGGGGTTACCGTATTGGGTCCTTATTGAAAGGGTTTAGGGTTTAGGGTTTAAGGGTCAGGGGTTAGGGTTTAGGGGTCGAAAATAGGGGTACTTTTTGGGGTCCTTACTATCAGCGAATCCTACTATTTGGGGAGCGCTATTAGGGTCCCTATTTTCGTACACCCCCATATTGTATCTGTTTCAGCTGAGACGTCACTGCGGTTTGCAAGGCTTGTCCAGAAGCGCACTGCTTTTGATGCAGGTGTACACCTTAGGGGATAGGGGTTTAGGGTTAGGGTTTAGGGATTCGGGGGACCCTGGGGACATAGACCCTCTGAGTAAGGTCCTTGCTCAAGAGAGCCAGAAGAGGGTTCAGAAGGGTTCCCTTTTGAGGGTCCCCCAAAACCCGAAACCCCAAACCCTAAACCCTTAACCCTAAACCCTAACCCCTACCTAACCCCTACCTAAACCCTAAACCCTAAACCCTAAACCCTAAACCCCTTATCCTACCAAGGACGTCTGGGCAACGCAGCTTGCTGGCCAATATGACCGGCCTCCCCATCGGGGCTGGCGCCCTCCTCCGGGAGTCTTGGCTTTGCCGCCTTCGCCGTTTGAGACTGGTGTGTTGGGGTTACAGGGTTATAGGGTTCTAGGGTTTTAGGGTTATAGAGTTATAGGGTTATAGGGTTATAGGGGTATAGGGTTATAGGGTTATATAGGGTTATATAGGGTTATATAGGGCTATAGGGTTATAGGGTTATAGGGCTATAGGTTAGAGGGTTATAGGGTTAAAGGGTTATAGCGCTATGGGTTATGGGGTTATATAGGGTTATAGGGTTATAGGGTTTAGAGTTTAGTGCTTCCGTAGTTCTCCGGCTACGAAGGTGCTCTGGTGTGATGGCAGAGGAGCTGGGCTCAAACGTCATGCAACTTCATGAATGTGCCCTCAGAAGCCCGCAAGGAAGGAAGGGCAAGGAACCCTCTGAACAGGGCAAGTTGATGCGTCTCTTCTTCGTTGCTGCATTTCTGCCCGCGGGCTTCCCTGAGATGCGGCTTCATCTATCGTACCCTGGAAACCCTTTGAAGGCAACAGCCCGGAACCCAGTTCAGCTCCAACTTCTCGATCCCTGCTGCAATGTGGGGCCTTTTAACGGACGGCGGATCTTTCGCGCCGTTCAGGGTTCAGGGTTCAGGGTTCAGAACCCTAAACCCTAAACCCTAAACCCTAAACCCTAAACCCTAAACCCTAAACCCTAAACCCTAAACCCTAAACCCTAAACCCTAAACCCGAACAGGGTTTAGGGTTGAGATTGTGCCCAGGCGCTTCGACCACTTGGAATGACTGTGGTCGGAGGCCTCGGGGGCCACGAAGGCGTCCAGCTTTGCAGCCTTGGCTGCCTGGCCTTGATGGCAAGCAATGTGGCAAGGCGCAGTAAAAAAAGGGTTTAGGGTTTAGGGTTTACGGTTTAGGGATTAGGGTATAGGGCCCGCATGGGCTTCCTTGTTGGGAGGGGGAGGAGATTCGGTGGAAGGTCAAGCGGCTCAAACGAACACGTGCTCAGGGCCTAATTGAGGTTCCAGCCTTCGTCCTCGCTGTCCGAGCCCTCCATGGCACGTTGGAGTTCTGCCTTGAGGCCACGCCGGCCTCGCTTTCCTGCCTAGGCGTCAAAATTCTGCACCGGATGGAGCAACCCTAAACCCTAAACCCCAACCCCTAAGCCCCTAACGAAACCGTAAAAAAAACCTAAAGGCTAAGTGGAGCGGATCTGCCAGTCCTTCTCCGGCGAGCCATCCCCTCCTCGAAATCGGACCATCTGCGCAGCCCTGCTGTCTACTAAGGGTGCCTGCGCAAGAAGTTTGGGAAAGGGCTATCGAGCTGGGCTTGAATGTTGCAGGCATGTGTTGCCGAAGCCTACCATGCTTTTGGAGCAAGTAGGGGGTGAACTGGTGCTACTTGCTGCTTCGAAGGGTGCTCGCAGAGGTTGGAGCTGCAGGGTGGTTTAGGGTTTAGGGTTTAGGGTTCGGGGTTTGGGGTTTAGGGCTACTTGTTGGCAAAGGCCTCGATTCTCCCACAAGCTGTATCCAGGCCGTCAGCACGCAGAGCGTTCACGTCTTCAGACTTTGCCATTGCTTCTAAAACAACGCTACCAGCTGCACAAAATCTGGGGTTTCCGAAAAGGCGACCCCAAATATAGACCCCCAAATAGTAGGATGCTTACAGTAAGGACCCCAAGAAGGTACCCCCCAAAATCGTAAGCCCCCCTATGATTCTTCAAGGGGAAGTCGCCTGCCACACAGCCTTGAGTCTCCAGAGCCTCGTGGCGCGCGATCCCTTTTTTCTCTTCTTGCCGCTGCACATTCACGGCCGATACGGCAGCTTGGAAGCCTTGGCAATAGGTAGAACTGCTTTTACCAGCATGGGCCATTCTACCCTACCAGCCCTTAAAAAAAGGGCTCTATGGGGTTGATTATGGGGGTTCTAGGGCCTGATAACCCATCCTGGTACGAGCGCGCGTGGTTTCTTGGCCCAATCACCTTGTAGATAGCCCAACCCCATGGCACAGAAGGTAGCCCAACATGTCAAGAAGATAGCCCAGAACCGAAACCCCGAGGGCACACAAGTCCCAAATCAGGCGATAATGATAGGAAAAACTCTCTACCTCTTGGGGATAGCATCTTAAGACTAGGATGTACCTATAAAAAAACGCATGTTTTGCGGAGTCTTCCCGCAGGGCACAGCGATAAAACAGTACCGCTGCCATGAATCCACCCGTGAACTTCTTTTCGAAGCTACCTCTCGGTGATAGCCACGTGAGTCTGGCTTGAGACGCTGAAAAAACGCCTGTTTCGCAGAGCCTTCCCGCAGGGCACAGCGATTTTTCCAGAACTGCGATTTGAAACGTAACCTGAAGAAACGGGCTTTGGATGGGGGTGTCTGTATTGTTGTCAGAACGATACCCGAACGATACCGCGAACGATGCCTCGGACATGTCTTGGCAAGGCCAACATGCACTCGAACCTACGAGTGCGACATGGCTGTAGGTCTGAAAGACGCCGGGGGCCTGTTAAACACCCTGGACTTCTGACTTAACTACTACTCTGAACCCTGATTGCAACGCCCTCGCAGGTGCACCTTGGCGTTTCGAGTCGTATCGCGCATCAAATACAGCATATAAAACGGTCACATATTCACATGTTCATTGCTAGCGTGCCCTCGCGTTTCGTGTTCCAAACGAAGCTTACAGAACTATAACCTGGTAAGCACCAACTATGTGAATTTTGCTGATTCCGCAGGGCACACAGCGACTGGGCTATCTTCTGGGCTTGCGGGCTAATAAACCACATCGACCCAGTAGTTGAGTTCGTGTGCGTGGAGCACGGATGGTAAGTCTCGGCGCCGGGCCTGTGCATGGGCACTCGAGTGCCCTTCCCAAGTACCCGCTGCCAGTCATCGCCTGGCACGCAGCTTGAGGCCAACCCTTCCGATTCAGCTTGGCAGCCAACCCTTCCCATTCAAGACCCCCCACTTGCGCGATGGAATCCGGGAAGCGAGCCGCCACACTAAATTCACGGTGGCTTTGACAACTGTGACCCCTGAGATCGTTGAAAGGTTGCCAAGCTCTCCAGCCAGGGTCCTCCTAAACAGCGCCTCTGCAGGCATCCCCTCGGACGGGCCTGCCTTCGTGGTGGAGACCACGCAGCGCACTTTGCAGACCTGGGCATGGAATGGTGCGGCACAAGGCGGGTCGGATGCGAGCACGAGGCAACACACCTCTCAGACTGCCCCGAGCTATCGGCGCTTTGGAAGCCCACTGCGAGACCACGATGCCGAACTCCAGCGTCCTCTCTCCGACGATGGCCTTGCAGAGGATTCACATTTTCGAGAATTCTTGGCCTCCCCCTCGTACAGCGAAACACACTCAAGGCACAATTGAGCTCTAGGGCGATCTAGCTATGGGCCCTTCAAGGCTTCCGTCAGCACCTAGACGTCTCAAAACCCAGCTGATTCGGAAAACTCAGAACAAAAGTGCTGTGTTCTGCCCACTGGTGACGACCCTCAAGTATCACACCATGTTTGCTGTCACATCGAGGCCCAGATTTGGTTACTTACCCTAGACCCTCAAACCCCCAAACCCCCCAAAGGCTGCTTAAAATACCTCCCAAAGATCGTCACAATAGGCAGCTTCCCATCTTGGAGAAGGATGCCCCCTCCCCCCGCTTCTAAGGCACAGCGGCTATCCCATGGCCCCAGCGCGTTAAAGGATCTTTAGACCAGCCCCCAACGCAATACCCCCCTCCACCCTAAACCCTGAAACCTAAATCCCCAAAACCTAAACCCAAAAACCCAAAAACCCCAAAAACCCCAAAAGCCCAAAAGCCCAAAAGCCCAAAAGCCCAAAAGCCCAAAAGCCCAAAACCCAAAAACCCAAAAACCCAAAAACCCAAAAACCCAAAAACCCAAAAACCCTAAAACCCTAAAACCCTAAAGCCCTAAACCCGAAAAACCATAAAGACCTAAGACCCTAAACCCTAAGCCCTAAAGCCCTAAAACCGTTTCTCCGGCGCACCTGCTGCAGCTCGCGGTGGGCTTGCTGGGCACACTGAGCGTCGGTTTTGCGGCCTGTGAGGTGCTGTGAGTTGAGGGTTGGAGTAGTTTGTAGGGCTTAGTTTAGGGGGGTTTAGGGTTTAGGGTTTAGGGTTTGGGGTTTAGGGTTTAGGGTTTAGGGTTTAGGGTGAGGGGCCTCGCAAGTGGTTTGGGGAACTTCCAACTCTGCATCTTCACTGCCTTGGCGCCCGTCCTAGTCACCCGTCGGTCGCCTTCGTCCTGGCAAATGCGTTGGCAGCTTCGGTAAGAATCCTAGGGGTTGTACCTTGGTGGGTTTAGGGTTTAGGGTTTAGGGATGTTTAGGGCTTAGGGTGTAGGGTTTAGGGGTTCTACCTTGGACCCTGGAGGTTGTACCCTTGGGTCTTGGGGACCCTTTAGGGCAGTAGAAGGGCCACATTAGGAGCATACCAAGAGGAACCTTTAGGGGCACAACCTCAGGGGTACGAGTCTTAATCCCTTGAAGAATGACAATGCGACCCTAAACCCTAAACCCTAAACCCTAAACCCTAAACCCTAAAACCCTAAAACCCTAAAACCCTAAAACCCTAAAACCCTAAACCCTAAACCCTAAAACCCTAAACCCTAAACCCCTAACCCCTAAACCCTAAACCCTAAACCCTAAACCCTGGCCTTATGGCTCAAACTGGGAGTCCTTGGAGGGAGACTCAAGTCGGCCAAAGGCGCCAAGCATGGCCGAGCAACACCTTTGGCTGCATGAAAAGCCCGTTCCAACCTGGGTTCCCGTCTTGGTTTTTCCTTGCCGTTGTACAGCATTGGGGTTTCCGAAATTGGGGGGTACCTTATTGCGGTGCTTGCTATGAGGGAATAATCATGTTCGGGGGGTCTACATTAGGGGTCCCGTATTTTGGTAAACCCCCTCATTCGCACGCAGACACACTTGGAGCAAAGGAAACATGCTTCGGGCAAACAGCGCTGGCCATGCTCGTGAATCGAGGGCTTGATGAATGGGCTCGAGCTAACGAAAGCGATGCACGCTCATTCTGATCATCGCTTCATTATCGTTCCAGACCCTTGCCAAGCAAACGAGTGTTGAAGCTGCGGCGCATACGACCAGAACCCTGCAATATTCATGGCTTGGCAAGCTAACCTTCCCTCGTGTTCACCCCTTTCTAGGCTGCAAGGCGTGTTGATCTAGACAACCGGTCCCCTGGTTGGCCCCCCAGAGGGGATCTTTGAAGGGTCCTACACCCTTAACCCACAACCCTAAACCCTAAACCCTATAAACCCTAAAGCCGAAACCCTAAACCCTTAACCCAAAGGCAAAAACCCCAAACCCCAAAGCCCAAAGGCTAAACCCAGCAAAACACTCCGTGAAGAGTTCACAAGCGAGCTCGGGCTGTGGCCACGCCCAGAAGTGGCATGAGAGGTGCCGAAGAAGAGACCACCACGGTCAAGGGACTGGCGCAAAAGCCGCGCTGTGGTCTGCATTATATCGTACTGTAAACAAATGTGTATATATATATATACACACTTGATATTACATATAGGATAGTGTGCAGTGTAGTCTATACGATAGAAAATGCTTAAGTTGAGATGAATGTCATGTAAGCTTCTTCAGCGCAAGCCAGGGGGAAATGGAAGGAAAGTCCCGCTGCTTCTAGGACCGATGCATTCGACGCATCTCTGCCCTGTAGTACCCTTGTCTCGCGGGTAGTGAAAACAGCACGTGGCACAGGATTACCTTCAACCCTAAGCCCTACAAAGCCTACAAACCCTACAATACCCTCTAAACCACATAAACCCTACAAACCCTTCAAGCCCTACAAGCCCTATAAACCCTATAATAAACCCTACAAACCCTCTAAACCCTAAACCTAAACCCTGAACCCCCAGAGATCGGATTCCAGCCACATGTCATCTGCCAGTTGCTGGGCGAGCCACATGATGTCGTGGGCACACTCGGGCACCTTTAGGGTTTAGGGTTTAGGGTTTAGGGTTTAGGGTTTAGGAGTACGCTGGAGGTGTTTAAAAAAACCTGCCTCAGAGTCCTCAAGGACCTTAAACCCCCAAACCCCAAATTCCGAACCCTAAACCCGAAACCTAAAACCCTAAACCCAAAATCCTAAACCCTCAACCCTTTGTTTCGTAGCAAGTGCAGGTCTTGGTGCAACAAGAATTGCAAGTTATAGAGTGATGCATGCATGTACATACATTCTGTGAAGTAGCTTGAACCCCAAAGGGAACATCCCATAATATATGTGTGTATATATATATATATATGTTTGCATATACACACCCCCCAATATTTATAAGGAACCACACATGTGCATGTATATATATATATATACATGTACATATACTGTTACAGACCTACATTTAATTCGGTAAACACACACACACACACATATATATATATATATGTATACATATATGTGTGATAAATTTGATATACGCACGTACATGATACTGCAAAGTTTCTATTACTATATTCACACACACACACACCTGTACAATCCCCATTCTCTCTGTCTATCGTGCTATCTAAGCGTGTAGATACGTGTAGGAGATATGCACACTGGGCTGCCGAGCATTGCGAGTCGGGTCTGCAGTTGCTTGTCGCTCGCGATGGACCTCCCAGAGCTGCATGCTGGGGGATGCGGGCTTGTTTGGTTTAGGGTTTAGGGCTTATGGACTTAGGGTTTTTGGTTTAGGGTTTAGGGCTTATAACTTAGGGTTTTTAGGGATTTTTTCGGGTTTTAGGACGGAGAAGTTCAAGATTTGTGAGCTTTTCCCCCCGCGCCAGCTCCAGCAGACCCAGCTTGTCAAGCTCCGCGGCACATCTTGCCTGGGACGTCTGAGGGGCTTTGCTACGTCACGCGCTTCCCATGTGCTTGCGCGGGTTTCCGCACCCTGCACAGCCGAGGCTCTGCATGTCGGATGTGCGGTCAACTGCTTGCCAGGTATGGCCCATACGCACTGAAAATCCCAGCCCATCCCAGCCCTCTAGGCCAGGGGCTTCAGGCCAATCGTGATGGCACCCTGGCCGGTTGGGCTCGAAGCAACGGCAACAAAAGCATACATTTACAGACATATACAATATGTGCGTATATACGTGTATGTACATACCAATATACGTACATTTGTTTATACACATATTATGCAGAGATGCGAAGAGGCAAAGTGAGTTACGACTGCGGCGGCTTCTTGGAAGCCAGAGAAGGCTGTACTGAGCATACATACCTGCATATACATGAACAAATAACTGGGAAAATACATAAATTGGATTAAATAAATGAATAAATGCAAATATATACATATATATGTATATATACACACACATATGTGTGTGAGCATCTCGCTATGTATTGTACATATCTATATATATATGTATTACGTATATACATTTGTATGTATGATCGCGTCTCGCGGTTCGCTTGTCCCCCGCCCCTCCCCTAAACCCTAAACCCCCCTCCCCAAACCCTAAACCCTAAACCTGAATTAAACCCTAAACCCTAAACCCCCCAACCCTCCCCCAACCACACCGCGGCCGCCGGCGGGGGGGGGGGGGGGGGGGTGGAAGATCGTAAACCCTATTCCACGCTTTTTGATATATGCAGCGTACATATACACATACATGTATAATATATATATATATATATATATAGAATCTGTTTCTATATGTATGTGTGTATATATATATATATACATACCCTGGGGCCTTGCAAGGCATAGCGCCGGAACTCAGCCGAAGAGGGCTGCTGCAAATCGGGGACGAGCCTCAGTGACTCGGACTCGCTCCAAAGGGTTTCTAAATTAGGGTGTAGGGTGTAGGGTTAGGGTTTAGGGTTAGGGCCTTCATAAGCTTAAGCTTCATGCGAGTGACGAAGACTTCCCTCCCTCTGACATCTGCCCGGGAATTGTTATAATCTGGCCACAAAATTATGTCCGTTGCAGTCGAACACCGCTGCAAAGCAGGCAGAATGCTTTCCGCGCACTTCGACTTGGAGATGAACCACACAAGCCTTCTGGGAGCAGGGCAGCTCGCAGTAGCCCGGCAAGCTGACGCCGTCCCACCAGCCTTGCTTGCACGCTACGACTCGTGCACTGTGTCAGGCATGTACATGGTACACACTATATGTATATGTGAAAATTATTTATATATATATATACATATGCATATATATATATGTATATACGTATGTATATGTATACATATATATATGTATACATATATATGTTAGAATTATCAGCACTTGTTCACTGAGAGATTGAAGGTCATTGGCCAAGGCAACTTCCAATCCGAATCGAAGATCAGCACAAGCCATGTGGACTCTCAGCTGAGCGTCTGCAGGCCACAGGGACCCTAAACCCTAAAAGGGTTTAGGGTTTAGGGTTTCAGGACTCTCCTGGCTGCCCCGCTCCTCAGAGTCGCTTCATCGGGCGGGAAGGGGTACAGAAGATACTATCTGCAACGATGTCAGCTTAGTGCGTTCCGATGAAAGTTATATCAAAGTGTAGTACAAGCCAAAGAAGGCATGCTTATACCAACAACATCTGCTTGCTAGCTCTCACCGGGCTTCGGGCGTTTGCACTTGCACTCGCCTGTTGTGCCATCTGCACGAACCTTCAGCCCACTCAAGTGCAGAGAATGGCAGGGAGCAGGCTTGAGCGAGCCGACCGTATCTGCCGGCATCGCATGTTGGGGGTTAAACCAACAGTGCTTATTGGGCCTATGTTGCCTCGGCAGGTTGGCGCCACACAAAGCCGCCAAAAAAACTGAGTTGCACACAAAGTCGGTACGAGTACATGGCTGCACTATCCGAAACGGGCGCTGCGCAGACTATTGCATTGTGTCCTCATGAAGGAACACTACAGTGCAAAATGATGAAACTCCTTCCCCATCGGTAAACCTCAATGCCACAAATCGAAGCCGTCAGAAATGAGCTCGTGGCACAGGCGGCCGCTGACATGCACTCACCACCTGGATTTTCAAACGTGGGACGTGGAGCTCCGACTTAGCAAGACGCTCGTGACTCGTATGTTCGTGTTGGGGCAGACACAGCCACGTCTGGGATGCCGGCCGCTGCTGTCGTACAGAGGCACCTCTGCGCACTCCATTGTTCCTGAGTTCCATTGGCAGTAGCCATCTATAGGTGCCAGCAGCCAGTGTATGCCCAACGCGTTTACCTCCTCGACTTGCTGGGTTTAGGGTTTAGGGTTTAGGGTTTAGGGTCTGGGGTTTTGGGGTTTTGGGTTTTGGGAGACAGAGAAGCACAAGGCCGGGCGCGCTGCGCGTGTCCAGATGTGACGACTTGCAGAGTCGGCGATCACTGCTGGCCACCTCTGTAGAGCAGGTGGTTAAACCTTTAGGGGTTCTACCTTGGACCCTTAAGGTTGTACCCTTGGGTTTTGGGGCCCCTTGTTAAGGATCCCTAGGGCATACAAGGGCCATGAACCTTTTGGGGTACAACCTTAGGGGTACGAGCGTTCATCCCTTGAACCAAAACCCCAAACCCTAAGCCCCTAGCAAACCTGCCAACCATCACTTGCTCTGGCAACCTGCCGAAGGGCGCTTTCTGTGCAAACCCAGCGACTGTACTGTTGTAGGAAAGGGCCCCCTTTCATCCCTTCGTATCGGGGTAAGGGGGCTACCATACAAAGGGGAGCATACTATGTTTGGGGTAAGGGGTACCATATACGGGGCACTGCCCTCCATTTGGGGTATGTAAGGGGGTAACCTACAAAGAATCAGGTTTTGGGGTACTGCTAAATTCTCGAAATTCCCCCCCAAGGGCCCGGCCCCGGGCTCGAGGGAATACTCGGCGACGCACTGGGGTCCTCGAGGCGCCACCACAACAACTCCCCAAAGCCAACCACGGCTCCCTATTTGCAATAGAGAGTTTTCTTTTAAACAACATCCCCTACAAGGATTAGGTGTTGGGCTCGTGAGGCTGTGTGTTTCGCCAAGTCCTGCCATCGTGGCGCAGGGGGGCTAAAAGCTCAGTCATTCTTGTCTTGGTAGCCCAGTAACCATATCAAGATAATTGTAATAATAATATTAGTAGTAAGAATGATAATCATAATGAGGGCACCCACCCTTTTTGGGGTTGGTTCCTTTATGAGGGAGCCTTGAACCAAGGAAAGGAAAAGGGTACCACGGGGCTACCATGCCATGATCCCAGCGTATCCCACCGGCTCGTGCTGCGACCGCCCGCGCTAACCCTAAACCCTAGACCCTAAACCCTAAACCCTAAGCCCTAAGCCCTAAGCCCTAAACCCTAAACCCTAAACCCTAACCCTAAACCCTAAACCCTGCCAGCAGCCCAGGCCGCGGCTCGCCGCGGCCAGGTTGCATAGGTGGCCCTGCAGGCACCTGCGCCCACCGTAAACCTTAAACCCTAAACCCTGAACCCTGAACCCTAAACCCTAAACCCTGAAACTTACACCCTAAACTTAGGCCCTAAACCCTGAACCCTAAACCCTAAACCCTAAACCCTAAACCCTCAACCCTAATCTAAACACACTGTTTGCAGCTCACAGCTCACCTTCAGAAGGAACAAAAAAATGGCAGCTCTTCAGAGGGTATTCGATCCCACTCTTACGGTTCGTTTGGGCCGCAAGTATCTGGAACCCTGAACCCTCAACCCTAAACCCCATTATGACCCTAAACCCTAAACCCTCAACCCTAAACGAAACCCTAAACCCTAAACCCTAAACCCCCAGCCATGCCGAGGAGGTGCTCGTGCGGATGCTCTCCCCGACAGCTGTGTTCGCGCGGGAGCTGGGGCCTTGCTTGGAGGCTTATTCGGGTGCTTAGCAGTAGGGTTTAGGGTTTAGGGTTTAGGGTTTAGGGTTTAGGGTTTAGGGTTTCGGGTTTCGGGTTTAGGGTTTAGGCTAATTCTGGTGAAAACCTTATATTTAGGGTACTTAGAACTAACTTAGAACCCCAGTGTACCCCCACTTGTAAGGGCCCATGAACAGGTACTTTTTGCAAGCCGCTGAGGGAAGATGGGGTCTTGACAAGTCATCCCTGTGTTGCTGCACTTCAGAAGGGAGGTACTTAGCATCCACTTCCAATTTGCTTTGTGCATTCGACAGCAATTGCGTCTGATATTGGGCAAGGTAACGCAAAGCGACGAGCGAGCGAGAGAGAGAGGGAGAGAAGAGAGAGGGAGAGAGGGAGAGGGAGAGAAAGGGAGAGAGAGGGAGAGGAGGGGAGAACGAGAGAGAGAGAGAGAGAGAGAGCGCCGATACGTGCATGCGATGACACGACGACATTGGCCAAGGTCGCGGCACGCAAACGGCCCTCAGACAGTACCTGACATGCCCCAACTACCATGAACACCTCAACACATCCGAAAAACAGCCTAAACAGTACACATTATGACAGTGTCCAGGGGCGCCGTGAATGAGCGGGAACGCTCACATGCAAAGGGGCGCACCATCCCTTTTGACAATCCAGGTCGCGTCCTTCTTGATACCTTACATGCGAAGCTTGTGCAGAAACCGTGCGACGTTCAATGGCGTCCGGTTTGCCGAGAGCGAAGCCCATCCCAACAAGCAACGTTGGTGCCAAAGCCTGGACAGCACGTGCACAAGATGACGAAGCCGCATGACATGCCATGGTCCACAGCACAGCCACATATGGGTAATTCTCCCCCCTTTTGGGTACCGCGTATAACAGTATCCAATACAGCACCCTTACAACAAGCACAATCAGCACGGACCCGAACTTAGACTCTTAAAGGACGAATATACCCACGTGATCTGCGGCAACGCTCTCGGACAAGCCCAAGGACTGTGCCCACACAGCGGCCGTTGACGCATCGTTCTCCTGCTTAGACATAGGGCCATAGGGGCAGATCACATACGAGCAAGACAGGAGGTTGAGTTTGGGGTTTGGGGTTTGGGGTTTAGGGTTTGGGGTTGAAGGGTTGAGGGTTTGGGGTTCGGCCTCAAAATGCCTCAAACATCAAACGAGAATCCTTGCACTTCGGCTACCGGCCGGGCACCGGCTCCCGCGCGTGACATCTAGAGAGACTCTCTGAAACCGATTCCTGGGTGAGCCTACGAAAATCCGCAACAGCCAGCAGACCCTGAACCCTAAACCCTAAACCCTAAACCCTAAACCCTAAACCCTAAACCCTAAACCCTAACCCTGCCCGACCTCCATAGATGCACACATTGTGCCCATCTTCGTTCTCACACTTCTGGCCTGCAGCATTCCAGGGCTCGGGTGCCCGAGATGCAAAAGTTGAAGCTTGGGAGTTTTGGGTTTCTAGGGTTTTATAGGGGGTTATAGAGGCTTTAAAGGGTTTGTAGGGTATAGGAGGTGTGTTGGGTTTATAGGGTTTATCGGGGGTTGGGTTTAAAGGGGTTGAGGATTTACAGGGGTTTAGGGTTCAAATCCTACTCACTGGACTACCCCTAAACCTGAAACCCCAGAAACCCAGAAACCCTACAAACTACAAACCCTCGAGAGCCTTTTAGTCGTTGCAGCCACGGGTCGAACACACCTTCGGTGGGTTCGACCACGCCAGCGCAGTAGTCACACAGATGCGTGACGCGGGCATGGAGTGCAGAGAGGGCGGCGGGGTTGGGGCAGCTACTTATTTCGATGGCTGCTACTATGGCGGTATGGCCGACTATTGCTACCAGTCGTATTCGTATCTATAGAGGCGCCATGAACAAGTGTTCAGCTCAGTGCAGTTGATCGCACAAGGCTCTTCACGCCATTGACTGCTGCGCTGTGCCATGGATTCTTTGCAAAGCCGCTGGGCCCAAGATGGCAGTGAAACTCCAGCATTTGGGGCGTGCAGACATCAAGCCAACGTGGGGGAAGAGCAAACGACGTTCATTAACAAGCGTGCCAAGGGCCTTCGCACTTGGGCGTTAGGCCGCAAGAGCCTGGCCTTCTCAGCCTTTCCAGGATGGGCGATTCGGCCCTATCATCCCTACAGTCAACCCTATGAAGGGCCTTTTTAAGGGGTTATCGGGTAGAAATCAACCCTATAAAGGGCCCATTTCAAAGGGTCATCGGGTATCATAGCCCATGCTGGCTTGTCACAGGATCACGGCGCTGGCCCTGGCGGAAGGCTTCATGCGCAGCGCCAGGCGGGCCACGAAGCCATCCAGGCGAGAGGCCATGGCCTTCTCCCGCACCTCAGGGGCGACACCATCTAAATCCTGGTCTGCTTGGGTCCTTGACAGTTTGGCAGACCCTAAACCCTAAACCCTAAACCCTAAACCCTAAACCCCTAAACCCCTAAACCCCTAAACCCCTAAACCCCTAAACCCCCAAACCCTAAACCCTAAGTCCTAAACCCTAAACCGCTATAAGCCCTAAACCCCAAACCCTAGAAAGAGTCAGCCAAGCCGCGGGCCGCCCCACCTGGGGCTGCGGGGGCCAGCCCCGGTCGTGGGTGGAGCCATCCTGGCGCCGCAGGGTTTAAGGTTTAGGGTTTAGGGTTTAGGGTGTAGGGTTTAGGGTTTAGGGTTTAGGGTTTAGGGTGTCTGAGGTGCGTGATATCGGGGTGTACGAAAATCGGGGGCCCCCACCAACATGTAAACCCCGCCGGCCCCCAAGGGTTTAGGGTTTAGGGTTTAGGGTTTAGGGTTTAGGGTTTAGGGTTGAGGGGGCCCCTGACATGTAAACCCCCAACATAGTAGGGTTCCCTTGTACTAAGGACCCCAGTAAGGTACCCCTAATCTCGGAAACCCCATATTGGAGTGACAGAGGTTGCCAAGTGGCAGGAGGCATAGGGTTGCACCCTAAACCCTAAACCCTAAACCCTAAACCCTAAACCCTAAACCCTAAACCCTAAACCCTAAACCCTAAACCCTAAACCCTAAACCCTAAACCCTAACCCGAGTTGAGTAGAGGTCTTCTGCCCGCGCCTCCCTCGGACAGCAGGCCGGTGTGCGGCCGTTGCGAGACCACACACTTGCCAGCCGACCCACGGCCTGCGAGGTTTAGGGTTTAGGGTTTAGGGTTTAGGGTTTAGGGTTTAGGGTTTAGGGTTTAGGGTTTAGGGTTTAGGGTTTAGGGTTTAGAATTTAGGGCTTAAGGTTTAGGATCCGTTCATTTTCCATGGCATTCAAACAGGGGAGCGACCAAGACCATCGTGACTGTGAGAAATTGAACATCTAGAGCCCTCACCCCCCAAAGCCCCTAAACCCCCTGAAACCCCTAAACCCTTAAACCCCCTAAACCCTAAACCCTCTTTTCCCTATCAAACCCTTAAACCCCCTTAACCCTAAACCCCGAACCCTAAACGCTTAAACCCCAAAACCCCTCAGAGCGCTTGGAAGGCCTCGCAGAACTCGGGGTACTTGAGGCCCCTTGGGCCCCTGGCACCCCGGTAGTCGGGGTTGGGCTTCTTGGCCTTGGAGGCATTTGGGGCTCTGGGGGTGTTGCTTTTTTGGTTTCATGTTTTTTTTTTTTTTTGTGTGTGTGTGTTCAGGGCTTTAGGGTGTTCGGTATGTGTGTTAAGGGTGTTTAGGGCTTTAGGGTGTTCGGGGAGTTCGACTAGGGGCTTAGGCATCTTGAAAAGCGCCGGTAGACCACTCTCACTCCGCGATCACCCACTGCCAGGGGGCCAGGGCGTAGATGGAGGCCACGTGCTTCGAGGAGAACGAGCGATCACACAGGCGGACGAGCCTCAGCTAACCAGGGGGTTTCCGAAATAGGGGTACCCGTTTTTGGGGGGTCCCTGTAAGGGGATTCTATTCTATTTGGGGAATAAACGGGGTACCCCCTGCTTTAGGAAATGCTCACCAGGCCGCTTGGACTGACTCTTGCTGCTTCACGCAAATTCGCTAATTAAACCCTGAACCCCATAACCAACACTGAAAGCGTGATGCCCTACACCCCTACACCCTACACCCTCAACTTGATCCCATTGGGGTTTGGGAACTGGTCTTCCGTTCGGCTTCGGAAGATGTTTGCCGGGGCTCCGCCCTCCGCATTTCAGGTCCAGGATCACAACTTCCTACTCCATGAAGGAGCCATGACGCAATAGTACCAGCAAGGGGGCAATAGGGTTCAGGGTTTAGGGTTTAAGGCCTAGAGTACTAGTAATACGGTAAATCAGAAAAACCAGCACAGGGTGGTAGTAGTAGTAGTAGTAGTAGTAGTAGTAGTAGTAGTAGTAGCAGTAGTACATCATGGAAACATAAGAACAAGAAAGATGGTGCTCATCGAAGTCATCAGAACGGCAATACAGTGGTCATCGTAGAGTAGCAATCATAACAAACATGAGAATAGGAATGCCGGTAAAAAAAACAATGCTGGTAGTAGCAACCGTCATAGTCAGAGTGATTGTGGTATGATGCTGATGGTGAAGTAAAAAACAATCCAGATACAGTCATCATAACACCCCATCCCTTCATTGGCTACTCGAAAACAGGAAGACTCTGCCCAAACCCCAAACCGTAAACCCTCAACCCCAAAGCCTGAATTCTAAACCCTAAACCCTACATCCTGAATCTGTCCGCGGAGCTGAGCCAGGCGTTGGAAGGCAGTCTCGCTGTAGCCGAAACGCTCCCAGGCCTTCTCCGGTATGGGATTGCTCTACTTACTGGTTTTTAGAATTAGGAAGTAGGGCCCCTGCACTAGACCCAAGAGTTACCCAGGAATAAAAGGGTGCCCTTTTTTGGTTTAAAGGGGCTTATAAAGGAACCTCAAGCCCTAAGCAAAGTGAATAAGGGCCTGCTCTGGGTCCTGGTGTGTGTCCCTTAAACTTAAACAAAGATTACTAGTTATAGAGGGCCCTCATTCTCTACGTACTCGGTCTGGGGACTCTTTGTGCCTCATAGCCAACATGCGGTCTCCGAAAATCGGAGAGCCCCTCCCTAAACCTAAACTACCCAAAAACCATGAGATTCCCCTCTCCCCATGTTAACCCCCCCCTCCCCCCTCATATTAAATTCCCCTATCATAGTTCTGTACTTAATGTTGGGGGGTGGGGGGGGTTAATGGCAAAACCATGGCAAACACCGGCCAATGAAGTTCCAGGATGGTCTGCTACTAGTCAATCTGGGCCGGCGATCGCAAAGGGTTTAGGGTTTAGGGTTTAGGGTTTAGGGTTTAGGGTTTAGGGTTTAGGGTTTAGGGTTTAGGGTTTAGGGTTTCGGTGCCTCCTGAAGCGTCTTCTTGTGCCGCAGAAGAGTGTCATAGTACCTGCGTGCTTGGGGCTTCTGCTGTCGAACCAGCCGCTCTTGCCGGGCGTCCAAAACTTCGGACGCAGTGGCTGTTGACAGGCTGCTGGAACAGCACCCTAAACCCTAAACCCTAAACCCTAAACTCTGAACTCTGAACATGGTGCATCAGGGGACTGCAACCAATACAGCACATGTCGAGCCGAGCGTCTCTCCCGGGCGAAGCGCCAAACCCCTCTCAGGGACAGGGTGTGAAGCTACTATTTGCTTAAGAACCCCCAAGAGAATAAAAAAATAGTAATCCCTATATTACCTTTAATAAGCCAGGATATGTTGTACTTTTTCGGGGGTTCTTAAGCAATTGGTCGGAAGGTGTGAGAGATAGCGGAGGCGATTGCAGATTCACCAAAACTTCCATGGTCAGTTCACGAAATTCTGGTCCCCTTGTGGGGGAAGGCTCACTATTGCAACAGGACCCCAAAATGGTGACCATCTTAAACCCTAAACCAAAAAACCCAAAATGGTGACCTCATGCGCCAGCCTTGGAAACGGTGCCACGGGAGGCCTCAGCAAGCGCTCTGCAATGACGTCCACGGCAAAGCGGCGGACCGCGTCGCAAGAGGACAGCTCCCGCCCTGTCAGTGCAGAGTTTTCTCAGAGGTTGGGCACCCTAGAATCCCAAAAGCTCTAAAACCTCAAACTCCTAAAGCCCCTAAACCCTAAAGCCTGAACCCTGAACCCTATACACTGCCTAAACAGCAGGGTTTGTAGCCGTCGAAGCCGCGCTACAAAAGCTGAACCCGCAACGGAGGCTCACCAGGGGCTTCCATAGGGTTTGGGATGCTGCGGCAGGCTCTTCCAAAAAGCTGCATCTGGGGGTTGACGAAAATAGGGGACCCCAAACATAGACCCCCAAACAATAGGGATTCCTCTTAATCAGGACCGCAATAAGGTACCCCGAATTTCGGAAACCCGAAATTCTCAGCCCCGCTTCCTACCACTTAGACCCTAAACCCTAAACCCTAAACCCTAAACCCTAACCCCCAAACCCTAAAC